TAAGCCTAACCTTAATCCTAACACTAATTAAAACCCTTATCCTAACTGTAGACCTAACCTTAATCCTAATTATAACCCTTATCCTAACCCTAACGAACTATTAACACATTGTCCAAACAGTACTTAAAAACGTGATCTGAGTGAAATTTGCTCCTTAGTTGGTGAATAGCGTTGATATTTCAGCTATCATAACAACAGGTGCGGTTAGCCAACGACTGGCATTCACTCAAGGTCATTGGAGCGTTCGCACTCCTGGGACGCTATTGTTGAACTTCGCCCTTGAAAAGTCGATCATGCCCCGCCTGCCTACTTGACTACTTTGATTATGTTATGGCTAAGCGCGATCATGGTTTGCTTGTCACAACTCTCTCTTCTTCGACTTCAAAAAAGCCTTTGTTGATGAAGTCCAACACAAGAGACGAATTCTTAAAGCTAAAGTCGTGCAGGTCACGCGAACCCTTGTTATCTTGGCCCAATTCTTTCTTGGAAGACCGGTTTCCTCAGATGTGAAATTCTTAAATAATTACTCACCACCCAAACCCATACGAAGTGGGATGGTATTCAGAGCAGTGCATGCACTAGGGCCATTGCCTTTCGTAATTTACAATAACGATATTTGCAGGGTAATCAGGTGCGTTACTCTCTATCTCTCTTCTGACGACCTAAAGAAATGGAAAGGCAATGCGGAAGAGGCATTTGAGTTGAGTTGTCCATCACCTTCAGTGTTATAATACCGACATTCAAGTTCATCCGGTCACATCAACCAACTGTCGATGGGTTCATATCACGTAACACACAACAGAAGAAGAAGAATACAGTGAAATATGTTGATTACTCTTTTTGAATCAGCCAGGAAACACTTTTTAATATTCATAAATGTAAAGATATCATTTTATTGCTCAATAAATAACTAGTTAACTTACTAACCAACCAACCAACCAACCAACTAACTAACTTTATATACTACTTAAACAATCAAAAATCAATATAATCAGGATACATTTGTGTTTTGATGTGTTTTTGATAATAATAATAACAGTAATAGTTAAATCAGATTTAATTGATAGTTGCCTTTTGTTTGGAATAGGCTTTAGCCAATTCAAAATATGCCTGTTCCAAAGTTCGTGTAGTTAAATTAAAATCTTCAACTAATCCAGACTGATGAGCTGAAAGGACAAAATAAAAGAAGAATTATTTCATACAATGATTCTTCCCTTTTATAAATTTGAACAAAGAAAGAAGAAACATTGGTGCAGAATAAACTGGATCAAGTTTTATTTCGTCGGTTCTCATCATCTGCGTACAACCTCGATGTTTTTCAATAAAATAAAAATAAAGTGTACAATTTTAACAAATCTTTGTCCATTAGTAAGCATATTGTTAGAGCGTCATAGTAAAATAAGGCGTTGCGATTTACAGGGTGTCTAATGTTTTACGACATATATATATATCTTGTTAGAGAGAAGTTTCTTGAAAAAAATTCACTAATAGCTGTGTTGTTGGGGCGGTAACAAAAGAAAATTAGTAATAGTTGCCTAATTAAAGAAGAAAATTTCGGTGCACATGAGGTCAGATGAGAAGTTGATGATGTAATACAGTGAGCAGAACTCAGAAGATCAAGAAAAAATTATCTCTTTAGAGAGTCAAGCGAAAAATAAAGGGGGTGGGGTAGAGTGAAAAGATAAGTTAACAAAATTAGAAAACAAAGAGTTACTAAGAAGTGAGTCTCACTAGAGTAATTGAAGTCCAACAACGGATTCCTTTGGGACACATAAGTCAGGCTTCAATCGTTTTATTGCTATAGCTTCAGCGAACCTGAGAAGACTTGAGGTACCACTTTGTCTGTTAATTATTTTGAATGATTCTAGGACATTTACTCGGTGTCCTGTATCAATCAGGTGTTTGGTGATTGAAGAGCTTAAATAATTCGGTCCCTTTAACCGGAGACTCCTTGATACATGTTCGCAGAATCTGACGTAGGCCCTCCTTTCTGTTCTTCCAATGTGAATTGGTATACACAGTTGGAGGTAACATGTGAGGGGTACTTGTCAATCCTTGACTACACCAGTGAGGAGGTTGTTCGGGTTAATGCTGTAGGATACGTCCTAGACAGGGCTACGCTTAATCTTTTATTTACCATTCTCATAATGTCGTCATCCTTGTAGTCGAGTTTGATGAAAATAGGCTTCTTACTGGATGTAGCTGTATCAAGCTTCTTGAGTTCATTCTTGCCATATTTGTTAATGAAACTTTGTGGGGTAACCATTTTCTTTCAAGCATTTTTCAAGAATCATTAGTTCACTGTCTAGTTTTTTTGATGAACATATTCTCTTCGCTCTAGAGAATAGCGTTTTCACAAGCGTTCGTTTATATCTCAATAGGCAGAAGCTGTTGAAATTCAAGTAAAGACCACTCCATGTGTCTTTACGATATACAGATCTTTCGAGTGTCCCTCCATGCGTATTTTCTCTCCAACTTTACGTCTAAAAAACGGAATTTTTCATCCTCTCCATGCTCCATCGTAAAAGTGATGCTTTTGTGTACATTGTTGAACGAGTCTAATAGAAACGAAGCGTGACTCAGTTATACATCTATATGCGTTAACAGCTGCTATCCCTGGATACTGAAGGTCAGGTGACCGGTCAGAGGGGATAATCAACCAGGAACTTTGGCAGACAGCGAACCAAGCAAGAAACATGCATAGTGAAATAGAAAAAGGGGGGCATATACGCCGAACCCTCTGGGCCAAAGCGGGTACTGGCTGGCTGGTTGGATTCAACATAGAACTTGGCACCGAAGTGCAGCAGTTCCAGTTGCCACATTCCAAATACCACACAAAGGTAGACAAGAAGATGAGTGAGAAGAATCAATAGAGTTTTGACAAGTATAAGAGTGAAACAGAATGAGTAATGGTAGAAAGGAATATGAAAGATTACAGAGACTGAATACACTGCGCCATTGACAACGATTTTGAGCCATGTCACCTATTGTCTCCAGCCAGTGATTCTTAGAGTCCCGAGGGCCCCAACCCGGAAGTCTGCATCTCCCTACCTGACTCAGTTTAACTGTCAAGGATTTCATGGATTGATGCCATGTTTTTGCTTGGCCACCACTTACTCTTTTCCAACCTGCACCTATATCAGCTAGTAATGCCCGTCGGGGGAGGCGATGGTTAGGCATGCGCAGCACGTGACCTGGCCATCTCAATCTATGTAACTTTATAGCCTCGTTGATTGATTTTCCCTCCTTGCCCAACACTCTACACCTAACGTCAACATTACTTACCCTATTATACCACCTAACGTGAGAAAGAGATCGTAGACATCTATGATCAAAAACAGTCAATTTTTTCATGTCTTCAACTCGTATTGGCCATGTTTCAGAGCCATAGAGAAGGACGGAGCGAACTGCTGAGCAGTACACAGGGATGTCACGCCTACGCCAGAGATGGTGTAAGTTAGCGAAAGCAGCCCGAGCTTTTTGGATCTGTGCTGAGATTTCGTCACCAATCAATCCGTTGGTGCTGATACAACTTCCCAAAGCGGGTACACCGCTAATGAGCTCGCCTACATATTAGGGAAATGGCCGTCCGGCGGCTGATTATCTGGCTTTGATCTGAGTAGCTAGGAAGCTCTACCCGATTGATGTGTGATAGACAACTACTCACTTCAGTCAGTTAACAGTATATCAATTTTATGCATTTATCTTTGAACTGGTGCCTCAATATTATTACCATTGTAACAGTAGAAGGCAAGACATGGAAGCCAAGGTATATTTTCTTCAAGTGATCAAACAGCTATTTATATCTATCTATACATTTTTTATATTCTTTAACCAATCACTGAGCGTGTGATTTAGGTTTACATTGAACGACATGAAATAGAATGTTCGAATACATATATAGTATTCTGTTGCTAATGCACTACTGAACTGGAGAAATAGTATTCAGAAGTTAGCGCCAACAAATACAGTGATTCTCACTGTGAGAATAATATTCCGTTGGAACCCATTGTCTGTATCACATCACCACACCATGATTACACACCTGGTGTTGGCTAGTAATTGATTTTAGGACATGCAATTTATCCGAATTCGAAATGCATCAGCTGAGTGTACATAATCCCTAGTGAGTGTTCTATGGCATTTCCAATGATGGCTTTAATCCAGCAAGCAACGCTTTAAACGTTCAACTGCTATCTACGAAATGAAACTGCTTGTTTGTATGTGTGATTTTCCGCTGATCAACCTGATTTCGATACATAGGGAGTCCCTGAAAAGATGTTTCAGTTTTTATCAAGATTACTTAGAACTTAAAGTTACTGATTTGGAAGTGCCTAGCAATAGAATCTAGGTCTCGCGGTTCGTCCCATTTATGGCTTATCACCTGGATGTACTTACATCTTATTGGGTAGTGGTGGTTTCCCCCCACGAAGACTCGAACCCGAAGAAAAGCACTCGTGTCATATCAAACATAACATAATTTTCAAAAATATATATATATATATCCGTGTAGTGATACTACATGGATGAGAGATTTGGCACCGCGCCGCGTCGCAAAGGGCACTTCGAACGAACTACACACCTTCATCAACAGCTGTCTTCGCTCAATACTTTGCGCAAGGTCAGATGGCCAGCCAGGAAAGATCAGCAATGAATGAACCAACCTAGTAGGAACCAATTGTGCAACAAATATGCAGGAAGAAATGGAGGTGGATTGGTGGCAATACTCTAATAAAACAAACCATCATCAAGTGACATCACACACCAGGTCATCGCTCGAGTGGGACCTGAATGGGAAGCGTCAAGTTCATCTTCAGTGCGAGGGTGACATGAAGGATGTCATGAGAAGAGGAGATGAAAAATGGAGTCAGGTGATGAAAACGTTGGCAGAGAACTGAACGCACAATGGAAACGTGCGACTGAAGCCATACTTTCCTCTAGGAACTAAATGAGACAATACTAATTATAATACATGTCACCTTCATTGCTTACTTACCTGTTCATAATCTATTTAATATTGCCTTAAGTGGTTGTTCCAAATGTGAATCAATTTGTAAGCAAGCACGATCACCGAATTGATCAATTGTTGTTATATCTTTACACATAATACGTATTCGTCGAATAAATGTCTCCATATTATGTTGTACTTCATCATCAGCATTTGCTGGTGGTAAGTTATAATCACGTGACATTTTCACATCAACAATCAAGCCTTTACTACATGTACCTTTTGTAAGATATGGTGAACCGATAGATCTAAATGGGCAGAAAAAAAGAAGAAGAAAGCCAGGAAAAGCTTTAAAACATGTTTAAGTGAGTTGAACGGAAAGATATTTATTAAAAATTATATTTATCAAGTATTGGTTTGTAGGGATTTTGTTTGGTCGGTTGGAGGATTTCACCATGAGCTGACATTGGTTAGAGAACCATTGGAAGACCAGTATTGAGTACTGGATAGCCAGCTGTTTCTTCAGTTTGATTTGGGACAGTTCATCAGTAAGCACCCACCACCGCAAGGGTTCGAACCCAAGACCTTCTGGTTACAAGGCTGGCTAGCTCGGAGACCATTCATCAGCCACTGGGATCCATTCTGATCCAATGACCAACCCATGAATTTCAACTTCTGCCAATTCACGACATAGTGCGACCACTTCGCAATTATATTTGTAAAATCTCAGGGAAGTTAAGATAAGTAATTCCAACGCTTCCTGTGTTCAGCAAACTGGTCGGAACTTCTTCAAGGAAATTAATCGAAATTAACATAAGAGAGGCTTATATATAAAAAGGACATCTCTTCTTTTTAAAAACTTTATTCAATCATATGAGTCATGAAACAGTCATCAAAATATAATAAACAAAACTGTATGAGCTGTGATCAAAATCTGACCTCAGACTAACAAATATTAGTCTAATTTTATTAAATACTATAAACAGTGTAATTTCCTAATTCAATTTTAGATTTTCCCGTCGACTGATTAGACCGAATTGCTGATCTCAGGTTGACATGTCGGCTTCTTGTGCAGATGTTTCGACAATGTCTGGACATGTGATTAGAATTTGATTGGTGGATGGTGACTAGCAGTGGAATCCACTGGAATGAGCATTTCGTCCTATTTGGGATTAGCTCGACAACTGGATGTACCTGCATTCCGCAGTGAGTAATGATGTTCCCACCGAGCTGGCTCTTGTGACCTAGGTAGTCTAGTGGATAACGCTTTGGCGTTTGAAACTATGGGAACTGGGTTCGAGCCATTGGAAGCCGTGACCATTAGGGTACACCAAGTCAAAGGTGACGACATTTATTCGTCGTAGAAGATATTTTTAAGTGGTCGCGTTATTTCGTGAATTAGTAGAAGTTAGAATTCACGGACTGGTCACTAGGTTGGGTCCCAGTGGCTTAATGGTCTACGAGCTCGCTAGCCTTGTACCCAGAAGGTCCTGGGTTCGACCCCCCCCAGTGTGGGTGCGTACTACTGAAGAGTCCCAAAAATATTGCTTGTTATGCATAACACGTGTCCTAGTTATCTCAATCGATGTGGCTTCACAATTTCGTCGACTGACTCTCAATCCTTGTCAAACATTTTCTACTTGTAACTTAATTATTGCTGACCATATTGTACGAACCAACACAAGCGATTGAATGGAGGCGTATAAGATCACTCTTCTGACTAATATATATATATATATATATATATATATATATATATATAATTAATATACTAGCTAAATTAATGAAAGTAACCAACCAAGGAGGTTACTTCCCCCAGCTTATCCAAACGCCGTTTCAACTTCACAAAAACAGTCAGAATCGGAAAGGCAAGGCAGACTTTCATCACTCTGAAATCAGTTTGGAAGTCTCCTACACTCCACCTTAGCATAAACAACAAAATTCGGGTTCTGTTCAACACAAATGTTAAGTTTTTCTTCTATAAAGGTCAGAAACTTGACCTGCGTGTCACGAAAAGGATTTCCAACTGCCTGTTGCAGACTTTTATCAAAAGCTGCCCACTTCGCTGGCTAGCTGCATACTGAAGATCAAATGACCGGTCAGAAAGAATAAGTAACAAGAAAATATGGGGACGAACCAACCAAGAACCCATCGCTCAACAGATACGCCGAAGAAAATGGAGATGGATCTGACGTACACACACACACACACACACTGAGGGGACCGTTGGGTAACATTGGGCACCATGCCATTGTTCGAGGGAAATCCGAATGGGAAACGACCAGTGGGTCGTGCTAGGGTGATATGCCGAAGATGAGAGACTATGGGCGGCCATGGTTTTCACTGAAAGAGAACTACCGAGAATAGGACAAAGCGGGGTTGTGCTGTTGAAGCCTTGTGTTCCACTCGGAACTCAATGAAACAACAACAATAATAAATATATTCCACTTGCTTACTTAGAACAACATTTGAGAAGTACTCTTTTTTGATAGTTTGAAAATATGCATTATTGCATTACAACACTATGGTAACGTACAGTTTATATTACTAACAGTAGTCTATTTAAGTAGTATACCATTTTACTTTATCCAACAAAAGTCAGGTGAACAGTTGACGACTTTATAAAACTTTTAGGAAAACAAAACAGAGAAAATGAAAAGTGCGTCGGTAGTTCAACGGTTAAATGTTTGCCTACTATGCAATCGGTTGGAGTTTGATTCCCAGCCGACATATTGATAAGCCTTGTTCAACCGGTAGTACACTTGGAAAATAAGACAGGTTGGGCGTGAGGTTAGCAATCCCACGCCTTAAAGACAACACATGTGCTAATGAAACTTCAGGGCTAAAATTGACTTCCCAATCCGTAAATCAGCTGGCAACTGGCGATGTACACAGTTCGAGGAGTGGAGTTTTCACCACAGTTTCTTTAGGAAACCAAATTGATATCATAAATGGTACTCAAGAAAGCAATTATTATATTATTTATTATTATTGTTTCCTTTAATTCCTAGAGGAACATAGGACTTCAGCCGTGCGTCTCCATTGCGCTCGAGTCTCTGCCAACGTTTTCACCTGGCTCCAAGTCTGCTCACATGCTTTCGTCTCCTCTTCACATGACCTCCTCCAGGTCACCCTCGCACTGACGACCAACTCGCGGCTTCCCATTCGGCGGATTCCACTCGAGGGCTGGCCTAGTGATGTCACTTGATGGTTTGTTTTCTCAGAGTATGGCCAATCCATCTCCATTTCTTCCTGCCTATTTGTTTCACAACCGGTTCCTGGTTGGTTCGCTCCCAGAGATCTCTGTTGCTTATCAACTCTGGCCATCTGATCTTGAGTAGTATTGAGCGAAGACAACTGTTAATGAAGGTCTGTAGTTTGTTTGAGATGATCTTTATGACGCACTGGCCAAGTCTCTGATCCGTATAGTAGTACTGACTGACTTCACATTGGAGTTGAAAATCCGGATCTCACTTTTCATGCTGAGTAGTGCTGTTGACCTCCACACAGACTTAAGAGTAATGAAAGCTTGTCTTGCTTTTCCGATTCTTGCTTTGATATCCTCGTCAGTTCCACCGGCCTGTAGTTGAAACGATGCTTCCCAGGTCGGTGGGTGATGGAGTTGTTTCACTCAGGTTCCTCCCATTTATGCTGATTGTTGTCTGTTGTTGTTGCTGCTGTCATTGCTGTTGGCCAGGAGCCTTCATCACCTCCGTTTTCTCTATGTTCACCTGGAGTCCTATCTTTGATGCTTCTTCTGCCAACTTGTTGCTTTTCGCTTGCATATCTTCCAGTTTGTGGGAAAACAGACATATATCATTGGTGAAGTTTAGATCCTCCAAGTCTTTTGTGTGGATCCATTTCATGCCTGTCTCCTCGTTGCCCACCGCTGTATGTCGCATTATCCAGTCTACCATAATCAGGAAAATCATTGGCGATAGTAGGCAGCCAGCTTGTTTTACTCCTGTCCTCACTTCGAAGGATTCCGGTAGTTTCCCGTTGTGGATTACTTGGCATGCAGCATTGTCGTACAGCTGTTGGATGAGATGTATTATTGTCGGTGGCACCCCTTGGTAGTAGCGAAGTAGTTGCCAAATCACCTCTCGATCGACGCTGTCGAAGGCCTTTTCAAAGTCGATGAAGTTGAGATAGAGAGGTGACTGCCATTCCAAGCTTTGTTCAATGATGATCCGTAATGTGGCTATCTGATCAATGCATGACTTGTTTCTCCTGAATCCAGCCAGCCTGTTCCGGTCGAAGTTTTTCATCCAGGACATGTTTGATTCTCTCCAGGATGATGCGACTTAGTATTTTGCTTGGGATGGACAGGAGCATAATTCCGCGCCAGTTCTTGCATTGACTTAAGTCTCCTTTCTTTGGTAGTTTGAATAAGTATCCCTTCTTCCAATCCTCGGGTACTTTACCCTCTTTCCACACCTTCTCCAGTAGTGGCGTCATCAAGTCCGCTGTTGTCTCTGGGTCCGTTTTCAATGCTTCTACTGGGATTCCATCTGGTCCTGCTGCTTTTCCAGCTTTCAGCATCTTGATTGCCTTCAGGACTTCTGATTTCGTCGGGGGGTTGGTGTTCACTGGTAGCTCTGTCTCCGTCTTTGGTATTGTTGGGCGCGTTGTAGATGGTGGTCGATTTAGGAATCTTTTGAAGTGTTCAGCCCAGTGTTTCCTTTGCTCCACTTCTTTGATGAGTGACTTTCCGTTGTCATCCTTCACAGGCTTGATTTGTGTCGAACGTTTTCTCGATAGGTACCTAGTTGTTTGGTAGAGTGTTGCGAGGTCTTCTTTGCCTGCAGCTTCTTCTGCTTTATTTGCCATGGTTTCAAAATACTTTCTTTTGTCTTCTCTGGCACTCTTCTTTACTCTTTTGTTCAGTGTATTGTAGCTTGCGATCAAATCCTGTATTTGTTGCTCATCGGTGCACTGGCGAATCTTTTGTTTCACCATCCCTCTCTCTTCTATCAGTCTCCAAGCGTCCGTAGTGAGGCACTGTTTGTTCTGTCTCTTCTTTCTGCCCACAACCTCCATGCAGGTTTGACTCCACACTGTTTTCAAGTTGTTCCAGTGCTTTTCGACGCTGACCTCTTCGCCAGTGTTGATTTGTGTCTCGGGTTTGTCTTTTATACTTGCAGTGAAGATGTCCTTTGTGTCCTGGTCCTTCAGTTTTTGAGTGTTGAACTTGGCTTGTGGTCTATATGCAGCTCCTGTTTCTTTGATAGCTTTTAATTTGATTTGGATTGTCCCTTGTACGAGATAGTGGTCTGAGCCAACGTCTGCTCCTCTTGTTACTTTCGTGTTCAGCAGGCTGCGCCTCCACTTCCTTGAGATTGAGATGAAGTCGATTTGGTTTTTGGTTCGCCCATCTGGTGACACCCATGTAGCCTTGTGGATATCCTTGTGTTTGTATACGCTGCCACCAATCACTAGTTCATTGAAGGCACAGAAGTCGGCGAAGAGTTCTTCGTTTTCATTCATTTCTCCGAGAGCTTCTCTACCCATGATGAGTTCCCTTCCTGTGTTATCTGATCCCAGTTTGGCGTTCATGTCTCCTGTTAGTATTTTAATGTCGCCGACTGGAGTATTGTCCATTGTTGCCTGTAGTTGTCTGGAGAATTCTTCTTTCTTTTCGAGGTCTGCGTTGTTTGTGGGTGCATAGCACTGTATAATTGACACTTTCCTTCCTTTGAAGTTGAATCTGGCGGTCATTATCCTGGGCGAGATCGCCTCCCATTGCATCAGGGCCTTCGTTGCCGTTGGTGACATCATGATAGCCACGCCCTCGGTGTGTATGTGGTTACCCTCCGGGTGACCAGAGTAGATCACTGACTCACCCATTGACAATTTGGTGAGTCCATTCCCGTTCCTTCTGCTTTCACATATCCCCAGTACTTGAATTCCATATCTTTTCATTTCGTTTGCGATCTGGGCAGCTTTGCCAATCTCGTACATGGTGCGGACATTCCATGTCCCCACACAGACTTTTTGTTTTGGCACAAAGAGATTCATCGGGCTGAAGTTTCTGTAGCAGCTTTGTTTACAGGGTGGGGTTGCTAGCCTCACTCCTGAGAAAGGGAGAGAGAAAAGGTTAATGTTGCATGACCGCAGAGCCCACTGGGCAACTGCTTGAGGCCGGTCACACGCGGCCTGTTTTTGGTTGTTCTTTCTTGTTTGGTGTGTCTCAGTAGCGTATTTATCACTTCTGCCCTGTGACACAGCAGCAGGAAGCGCGTTCGTTGTTAATCCGAGGCCCCGACCGATCCGGCATGATATTTTGTTTGTTTGAATCATAGTATTGGATTGAGTAGCTGCTTTTTGTCTAACCGCTATCCAAAGAACCTTTCTGGCATGGTACGACCTACAGGAACATACGTTCCAGCCAGTGTAGCTCGTTGGGTCATTGCGATATGCGAGCCCGACCACCACGTCAAGGTAGCAGCTATCGGTCAGGAGAAAGCAATTATATTCGTATAAAACTATATACTACTGATTGATTGATATAAGTAGTTGCATACAAGTAGTACTTACCAGCTAGCCAGATCGAGGTGATCAAATAAAAAAAGGGACGGCCGTTTCGCTATTCAGTATCAGCCGTTTGGTGTTGCTTCAGTTAGCAAGCACTACTGATTGTGATACGAGTAGTACAGAACTTTATGAGAGTTATCAAACAAATGAATAACAAAGAGAAAAAAGATGTAACACAACACGTTAGTCATTATTATTATTATTGTTATTGTTGTTATTGCTACTTACAGTGTACATCCATTGACAAGTATGGCTAAAGTATCACAGACAGCTTCAGCTTCATCAGTAGCATGTGTTGATACAATACAACCTCTGTTTGTTCCCTTGATACACTTTAACAAAGTGCTCCTAAATAAGATTAATAATAATAATGATTCCACACTTGTACTGAAAATACGGTGTGGAATCAAGCTGTAAATCAAAAAATCAAAAAAATAATAATCTACTTTATTCCAAAATGGAATGGGATGGAATTCTCAGCATTTGTCACAACACCTTGCATCTGATTTACTCATAATATAAACAAAATCAAAAATTAAAACAAAATTAACCTGAGGAATTTGTCCACATTTTCGATATAAAGTCAAAAATATTCGAAGCACGAATTGAGAATATTACATATAATAATAATGATAATAATAATAACAGTGAGTTTGTTTCAAACACTATTGTCGATTCAGTTTGGAAACTATAGCATGTTATAGATTATTGGATCTAATGCTCTGTTGATATAGTATAGTGAGGGGAAATACAAAATTAACAGTTATAACACAGCTTAAATGATGTTCAGGCTTTTGAAAGAAAAATAAACATCAACAAAATCTTGAGAGGATCATAAATATAAGAAGTACAATAACAATAAAGTTTGATGCTGTAAGGGTGGAGGAAAGGGTTTATTTAGTAGTGTAAAGAAGGTTAGTTAGTTCATGCCTAACACTATTTTCATCACATAAAGTACGTGCTAAATATAGTATAGTGGAATTTTTATACTTAGACGTGCGTGCATAAAGTCTTTTGATGAAGTGACTCCTTGTTCTACCTGAGGAAGAGAAGCGAGGTGAAAACTGTGGGTGCTGAGGTGGATGCTCACAGTCTGACAAAATTCCTTTAGCAAATTTGTTGCATGAAATCAAGTGCCAATCATCAATGACAATGTCAACGATATGGCCCAATGGGATACCACCACTCGCCCTTCTGACAGTCTTCAGAGTTCTACAAAGTATGACATAGTCTTCTTTAAGCAATCCAGGAAAGAATAAGGGTAAAGAGTAAAGAAGAAGGATAGGTGAGATGCACGAATTGACAAACTGTAAGAGGAGGAGGGTTTGGTTAAGTTATGCCTGAGTGCCTTAACTTCTTAATATAAAAAGTCAGACGAAATATTCTTTTAGAAATCGCTAAGACGTCTGAGAAGACCAGGATAGGTCAGTAGAAAGAGTTAATCCAAGATACTTAACTTCAGACTTGGTTTCTATATCAGTATCATCAATTTTGCAAGTCATAGGAACCAACAGCTTCATTTAACTTTCTTTTACATCGGAGACTGAAATTAACAGTCTGACATTTAGAAGGATTCAGTTTAAGGCCATTTGACGAAGACCATGATAATAATAATCAGTCAACTAGACCATTCATCAGCTCCTGGTACTCAATCCAATGGCCCGTACTGAAGAGTCTCAAACTAGGACGAAACAGCTGGCTGTCCACTACTCCCTGTTGGTTTTCCAATGGTTCTCTAACCAATGTCAGCTGATGGTGAAATCCAGTAACTAATCAATCAAATCCCTACAAACCAATACTTGAATATCTATCTAATTGTTATATTTTAATCATGTAGTAATATCAGTTAGAGAGATCATTGAAAACTGTTTCGTCCTATTTTCGCACTCATCAGTAGTGTGCATACATGGCCCTTTCAGGTTAGAGGAACAAGCTCACTGACTAGTCAGCCACTTGGTCTGGAATTCAATGACGTAGGAATTCTATTTTGATCAGCTTGTGATACAACACCTCCCTCACCAATGTCTCTTCGGTGAGAATCTACTTCACCTTGATATAGTGGACCCCACTGGTCATGAATTCGTAGGTACAGCTTCAGTAGCTGTCAGTGAACTGGTGACTGTTTTTCAGATTATAGAGTTTATGGGGATTTCGAGTTAATTGCAACTGCTAGATTTTCAATATATTAAATGTTCTCATAGTAAAATTTAGAACAAGACATTTAAGCGAACATTATTGTGCTTTCAATTGGATCTCATCATCAGGCTTAACTCTAATGTGCCCACATAACTTTGCAAATAAACATTCAAATATAAACCAATCATGGTGTTCTGTCTATAGGATGATAAGATGGTGAGTATAAACTGTGCAATTAGTCATAATAGGAGTAATAATAATAATAATGATATATCGATAACAAGATTGAAAAAGTGAGGCGATCTGTGATAAAACGAATAATGCAAAACAGCATGATTAAACAAACAAATGTTCAGGTAGACGTAGTAGTCGATAAACGATAAGAAAAACAAATGAACCGAATAAGTAATGCTAAATTGTAAGGGAAGCAAATGAAACACGTTTTCAATGAAGGTGTGATAAGATTAAGGGATGATGACAAGAGAGGGGTTGATCATATAAGTAAGGGATGGTGGTGTAGAAGTCATTAGTTGGTTATATCTTAATAGGCCAACAAGGGAGAGATAATGGCTGAAAGAACTTCATCTTTTGAATGCATAGTTTAGGTTTAATAGTTCGAATGTCTATCGCCTCAGCTGTGTGCGTGCAGTAGACGAATACGAAGTCTATTGGAAAGATTCGGTGGGATACGATGAATTACTTTGAAAGCTCTCGTTTTCTCCACTACATGACCACTATCAATTAAGTGTGACAAAATTGAACTATCGATTGTTTTTGTCTGTCCTTTGCCAAAACACCACGATGGAAAATGTTCAGCAACGCGTTGGCCAAGCTGTCCATTACGTCGTACACCCAACATAACTGTCACCGCAGATGCAGTTGAATTGATAAATGCACATTGATGTGGCGAAATTATCCCAATCATTCGTTGGCTAGAGAATGACAAACATAGGTGTGCTGCGTAAAACGTTTTTTGTATACTCCTGGGAAGTTTCTGGAATAAAATCTCCCTTGACAAGCCACTATTAAATTGTAACTTAAGAAATAGAGGTTTTTTACGTGCAATCATAATCTCAGGTTTTCTCTCCAATGTTTTCATATGTTTCTTTGTGAAACTACTCGGACAGCCCATCTCCATCAAGGAATCGTGAATATATTCAATTCCTGCTCTGCTCGTAAGACATTTAACAACATTTCTTTCATATTTAATGAGCACGTAACTAAGGAGCTATGTGTGTATTACCCTGTGAATGTGCTTTTTCTATACACGTTTCTCCCAAGTGACCCATCTCCTCGCCTACTTAGTATGAACCGACCTGACGAATAAAATAGCATATAGAAATTTACATGGAATTAAAACAGTTAAAGTTGCCAGTCTCAATCAACCAAGTACTCGATAATCAAAACCTTGAAAATCTTTAATCATCACTCAACTTTGTTCACTATAGTAAAAGTCAAAGTGTAACACCGTGGACTTTTTCTTTCATCTCTCTTTGTCTTTCTTAGCGAAAAATACGGATTCACAACTTGAGGTCTGAAGTTTCACTATCGGCAACCTTCCCTATTTTTCCAGGCCTGCTACCAGCTAATTAACCAGGCAAGGTTTAAGAGTGTATCGATGGGAAGTCGGTGTTAGACCTCCCATATGGCTGGTGGGCATTCCACCATCAGCTTCGACTGAGACCTTTTTATACACAGTTTTGAGTTGTTAAGTCGATTGATTAAAATAAATTCCATTTGCATTCTCTTGGAAGGATAGTGTGTGAGTAATATTCAGTGTTAGTTATATCGGTGAGTACTTATTTAACTGCATTGTCAAAATAAGCAACTGAACAGTGTTTAACTTTTACTCACCAGGAATTCAGGAAATCCATCCTCTTAGAAATAAACGACAAGTGAGATTTTTTTATGAGTTGACCACGGATTGATATCAGTTAGAGAAACATTGAAAACAAGCACTGGAGTACTGGACAGTCAGCTGTTTCATCCTAGTTTGTGAATCATCGGCAGTACGCACCCACCACACCACACGGGTTCGAACCCAGGAACTTCAGGTTACAAAGCAGGCTCGTATACCATTCAGCCACTAAGCCTTACAAACAAAACTATAGAAAATTAATCTGGTGCTCGCTACAGGATGGAGTTTCCTGCAGTGAGTTCTAGTGAGAAGTCGTGACCACTGGGGTCCATCCAGATGTCACGTATGAGGATGGATGTCCCGCCGATGACATTGGTTGATGGTCGCGCTAAATCACAAATTGGTAGAAGTTAGAATTCATGGGCTGGCCATTGAATTGGGTCCCAGCGGCTGAATGGTATATGAGCTTGCCTTGTAACCGGAAGGTGCTGGGTTCGAACCCTGGCAGTGAATGCGTACTGCCCATGATTCCCAATTTAGGATGAAACAGCTGTCCAGTACTCCTTGGTTTTCAATGGTCCTCTATCTGATATCAATCCGTGATCAACTCGTAAAAACAAAACTAACCCTTACAAACCAATTTGTTGAAGATAAGTGGGATGTTAATTATTATTATAAACAATTAAAGGATAGAAATAATTACAACAGGTGGATTGTATGGTGTATAGTTTTGAGAAAATGGAGGGTAATTAAGGAACAAGAAAGTGTTCAAGTTGATTATGTAATAGGCAATTACAGAAAAATAAACTAATTCAGACAATTATAATTTTTAAAATGTTTAGGGAGAACAAAATAATCGAGCAAAGAATATTCTTTTCGATAAATTCCTCTTCCAGGCTCTACAATTATATATATGTTTTTATACACAGAATATTTTAAATTAGTAGTTAAAATAGTCAGGTTTTTACATTCATATAACGATGGCTAAGAAGTAAAGAAATAGGGGCTGTAAGAATTTCTTCTGAACACACAGGTTTGGCTTCTTCAGGTGGATTTCGATGACTTCATATAGCTGTATGTAGAAGATGAACTCGCAAAGCAGAATTAAGATCAGTTGGAGAGCGATAAATAACTTTAAATACTGTACTAACATCAACTTTATGATCAGTGTCTATAAGGTGTGCTAAAACAGAGCTAGCTACGAATAGATTTAGTTTGTCCCTTGCTTAACCACTATGCAGGATGATGTTAGAAAATACGTGTGGATGAACCTGCCTTATTGTATACCCAAAGTAGCTAGCCCTGCAGTTACAGTCAAACTGGTAGGTACACATAGAAGAGGTGAGATTAGAGGGAAGTTTGTCCTTTATTTCTTGAACTTAATTGTTGTTCCAATCAGGTTTTAAGAGGGTTTTCTTTATGCTGTCATTTTTGTATCATCTTGATAACTACCGAAAAGTGCAGATTCATTTTGACTTTTGACTGTTTTACTTCAAATATCAACTAATCATATGTTTCTCAACTTTTTTTCTGAACAGTTATGATCATAGACCCATTCAGTACCTTTTAAATAAAATCTGTAACAAAGTTTTTATTGACTAGAGACTGAAAAACGGTGATTATTCAGGTATTGAAGCGACCAAACGAGCTATACTAGTCAAAACTAATGTTCCTGCAGGTCCTATCATGCCAGAAAGGTGATTTAGATAGTGGTTTTACTGGAAAAAATTACCATCACAGTGCAAGTCATCTAAAATCTGTTGGGGATCTGTCGGTGAAGTCGTACTGCTCATGAATAGGGCTGTAACAGCAGTAGGAGGTTTCTGTCAGATGACCAGCAAGCCATCTCTGCAAAGTGGAGTTAGAAAAGGTCAACCCAGAAAAGTATGCATTCCAAATTACCTTGCAACGGTCCGTAAACGGCTGTATGATGGTAAGATACGGACACAATCCGAATAACCCCTTCAAACGGGCCGTGTGTGTGTGTGTGACCGGTTTCAAGCAGTTGTCTCCTAGGCTCTAGAGTCACATAACACTAATACCTCTTCCGTTTCAGGCGCTCGAAGAAGAAAACAACTTCCACGATGTCGACAGCGGGGAAGTAACAACCGTCTATACACTTAGATAAGCATTAAAAGTCATCTGTTAAAATTATTGATAACGATGAACAAAAAGAACAAATTCTATTACCAAATATTACCAATAGCAGGAGAACAAAAAATAACGATAAGAAAATGAACGAACAAACGAACGAAACATTTGAACAATTCAGCCTATCATACCATAAACTTCGTCTAGATCGCGGATCAACACCACATGATGGTTCATCCATTATCACTAAACTTGGATCACCGACTAAACTGATACCCATTGACAACTGTGTGTGAATGTAAACGTATACACAGATATACACACACACACATGAAAGAAAATAAATAGTTGTGTTGGTTTGCATGGGTTTGACTTATTTCAATATTGACCACGAACTGACTTCAGTCGTAGAACAACTGGACAACCAAGGAATACTGGACAGGTGGTTCGTCCTTGTCTAGGACTCTTCATCAGTACGTACCCATGAATCTACCGCTAAGGATCGAATCTAGGACCTTCAGATTACACGGTGAGCTCCTAATGATGAAACACTATTCCAACAGTCACAGGCCAGTCAGTCCTTGTCTTTCGATGTTTACGTAGCGCAGTGAAGCAGAAGGAACCACGGTCGAATAGTCGTATTCAGCATATAAGTTGAGTTGTGTTCATTGTGTCAGTATCATTGAACACACAGTTGAGTGGACTCAGTCATCTATATCAACTGTCAACGAGATGACATGAATTAGCGACAAGTGGATAAGATAAGAGTTACATGAGCCGACCGCAGTCAATCAGTCAATCAATCGATGGCGTGATTGATGTTCAGCTCATGGTGAATATCAGCTGTGATATACTGTTCAGCTGGTAGGTAGGTAAGCTGTAGCACTCCCATGTGCACTCACACTGAGAAAATCTCTGTTCATTTGTTATTATGCCACAATGTGGCATTAAAAAATTTGGTGAACGCCATTTGTCTGTGACACTAGCGGATGACAGCCAACACCCAGTTAAAAATCAACTACCATAAAAGAAAATTGCATTTTGCAATTTCACTCACTTCCAATAGTTATCAGCGGATATTGATTAGTGTTAGTGATGATTTCGACAAATCTCACATTGCTTCATACGCAAATATTCACTGAAAGTCAACTGAAGCGATAATTAGAAACAATCCGTGTATATGCACTAATGCAATTATCCATTTAAGTAGGCTGTAAATTATGGGAGAAATATTTTCGAGCAATTAGTTCTAGTGATGAATTTCGACGAGATAATAAGAAGACGTAATTTATCCAAATCGTGTAGTATGTTTGCAGAACACATTTCGAGTTATCTGATGGCACAAGTGATCCTCTCAATTATATATATACAGATATATATTTGAAACCATTTATGCTGTGAATGGACAGGCATTTATCGAGTATTGTCATTGTGTTGTGTTTCGCAAAACGTTGAAATTGAGATACGAGAACAAAGTTGGACACAGTCTCCTTTGTGAATGCTGCTGTTTGTGCGTGTTTGTTCATTTCTTACTGAAACCACACTTCTATCGAACATGATTTCAGCCTTGGCGTCCGTCCTGCACACACGGACAAGATTCGATGATATATCAAGCACCATAATGCTAGGAGAATGATGCAGGTGTCATCTTCGCGTGTCAACTGGTATTGTTTCAGTAACTGGGACGATGGGTGTTTGAGGTACGTGAAAGTGGTGTGGGATGAGAAGTTGGTGACGAAGTTTTGAGAGGTCTGGTAAACTGCATTGCTTCCATGACGACCATCTCGCTCACGTCCACATTCGACCAAACTGAACTGGTTGTTTGAGAACTGTTTCCAACGTCAAGAAAGCCAACAGCGCCATCACGGAGAGACACGGATAGACAATATCCTGCATTTCATCATGAATAACGAAGGAATTTTCCTAGATGAAATGGAAACATCAATAACAACACGACTTAGAACTGACACGATTACATTTCAGATTTCAATACAGATTTCGGTGGGTGGGGGATAATTATTTTCAACAAATTCCTAATTTCAGACGATCCTCACATATGTATAAATGCATGAACATCATCTAAGAAGGAATAGCTAGTGATGATGGAATCAGAGTTACATTAGAAACAGTAATACGGTAGATGGAGTAAACCGCCATTGGAAACTGACCCGAATGCATGATGGCATTGTGAATGCTGGGGAGGAGATGACGGACCATAATCTATGAGGGAGAGTGAGAAGATTGTCAGCGGAGTAGCCGACAACTTGTTGGTGTCCAGCCAATATGCAAATGAAAAGAAATTGAGATGAACTTAAAATATACGGCGGTTAGGAGGCGGTCAGCTGGAATCCTATAACACGTGGTAGACTTGAATGAGAATGGAGAGTGATGAGTTGAACATGTGGTATAGGATGATATTCGGCCTATTTTGTGAGGTTGAAGTGAATGCAGGCAGGATGTTGTGGATTGGAGGTGTGGTGGAAGCGTCTGAACAAAACCGATTGTAATTGAGATTTTCTGATGAGGCTGAATGCTTCACTCCGAATTCAGAGAATGATTAATACCAATAGTGGTAGTGTGTACATCCAAACAAGCTATGAGACAGTAAGATGAAGTGGCGTTTTCACGTAAAATATCCCAATCCAGTTTTCGAGTGTTGAGTTGTGATCAGTAAGATGGGTGATAATTGAGATATGACGATTAATTGAGATAAGCTAAACGTGAATTCAAACGTTGGGACATAATTTTAACGACAGTGATGTCAGAGTACATTCTACATGGATTGAATCAGTTATTTGAATTTCATTTCGACTGAGTAAGGAGCTCAACTAGTTCGAGTAAATGTGTACTCACATAGAGCATGTGACTGTTATCTCTGCATCTCTCCCTCCCTCTGTAATCTGTGAAGCTGCCTAACCATCTTCTACACTAATTGGCTATTATCATGTCCCTTTACAGGAAGAGATTCATCGGTATACACGATTAACTGAATCCCCCACCTGGTCTGTTGTGTGGGAAGATGAGAGGTAAAATCGGTCTCCGGAATGTCAAACATTCTGAATATTCATTATGGAAATTCTTATTGGTGTGGATGCATCGGGTGACAGTGATTGTGCTGTTTTTTTCTCACCGTTTTCCGCTGTGCAATGGTGAATTCGAAGAGGATACAGCAGGAGAGCTCAAAATTGAAGAAGAATTCATATTCCTTTTGAGAACTGGTTCTCGAATCGGGTCATAAACTCCTGGAACTCTCTCCCAGAAGAGGCGGTGTCGTTAACCTCAACAGATTCATTAAAGAAGGGTTTGAACAAACAGAGAAGTTTATTAGAAAAGGATTATGAAAGGCTCCAAACCATCTAACTACAACCAATAAATATGAATCTGAATCACAAAAACATCATTATCGACATCTGGGTGGAAGAAGGCTATTTCAACGAAGGAACTGTCGCCATACGTAGACCGTCATGTTGTATTTCTGACATATCATATCATACAAGTCGATTGATGACTTCAGTCAAGTAGGTATATACCATCGTGATTAGTGATTTAGCGTGAGGGTGATGAGTGACTAGAGAATGAAGACGTTGTCATTGGATGAGCTTTCTGTTGACGAAGAAGATGTGGGTAGAATTGAAGTGAATGCGACTGAATTGTTTCCGATAATTTCATTTGAGGATGACAACCACACTCTGAGTGATTTACTTCAGAAATGGATTGATACCACTTCAATCTGTCTCATATGCAAATTGTTCTGTCATCTTGCCTCGAGTCGAGTAGTGTCATCAATGACGGCCTTCCTAATGCACTCTTCACAACTGTGTAATGTATTTCGATCGTGTTGTCTCTTCAGTTAATCGTCACAGGTATATCCTTCGTCAGTTGCATACATCACGTTCGGATATTCGGAGAATGAAATCGACTGCTCGAAATCACATGCATTAGTTGAATGTTGTTGAACATATCCACCATACCTGTCCATTTTCAATAGCCAGCTGGCCAGCAGGCTGCTTAGAACTTTCGCCACCAATACACCACAACAGTATAGTGCATATAATTCCTCCAATTCACTCTGTCCAATCCAAATCTACTCAAATATCACCTTTACTAGCATTGTTCACTCTGGTGACTATTTAGAACTTGTACAACCTACTGATTCACAACTTTTTACTAAAAGGGAGAATACGCACTATCCTCAGTGGCAGCTTAAATCAACACATGGGATAACTGTTCCTAACTGGTGTCCTTGCTTCAAAAATTGTATTGATGAACATTCAATGAGTAAACATTCAAAAATGGTCGTATATATCTCGAACTAGAGAAAGAAGAGTTATCATGGTGGATTAGATTGCAATTCAGGTGATACAGATACAGCTGTGTCAACCGAGCTACTGTCAATTTGCCTTTCATTTGAAGATACTGGATGAAGAGAAAATATCATCATCGGCTGAAAATTCTGTGCATAATATGAACACTGATCGGTTCAGTGCACTGATGATTGTCTACGCCTGACTGCTGGTTTCATGCAGTTTATATTCGTCCGTGTCGACGTGATTCAAGATATTGGGTTATGGAATTCGACTGTCGCCAATTTGGGTCATTGAGATTTCAACTCTGACATTTTGGATAATCGAATTTTATTGCATGTGCTGCTACAAATCCCTAGCTCTGCTTTACCCTATCTTCACATTTCTTTTTCAATCTTAGGAGCATTCGAAGCCTAAAATATTTCGCGAACATTTTTATATCCCAATGGTTAATTTTGCTTCCATTGAAATTAGCTGCCTCGTTTGACTCACTTCATGAAGACTTTAACCGAACCCTGTCTTTGCATCCCTCTTATTGCTACGAAGAATTGGTTTGTATTTTCAGTCTTTTGTTGTTTGAAGTTTTTGAGGATGTTTCGCTTCACGGATGCATCATGTCTCTTAGTCTGTTGATATGCGGAGAATCTGACATTTGCGCTTCCATTCAACGGTATGAAAACGCACAGGTTATGGACGCATGCAAAGCAGAATACACTGTTGACCTCTCCACATTTGTATTGTGGAAGCCATCTAAATTACTTCAATAAGGATATGATGTGGTTTCATGAATTCTGACTGCCCGACTGAGTTACAACGTACAACTTTGAACAGGAAGTACACAAGCAAAGCAGTTTATGACACGTAGGTGTAGAAAACAATTATGATGTAAAGAATTGTATAGAAGAGAAGCAACAAGTAGAAATATGAGAAAAATAATGGATGTGGCAGATAAAACAGAGTGAACGAATCTGTAGTATTGAGAACATTCTCGAGCTGTGTCACCAACAGTCACATTCTACTTATTACTTAGCAACCTGATATTCCCCTCCAGGCAGTATACACCTCCCTACGTAGCTCAAACTAATAGTCGAAGCCTACATGTACTGACACAAAGATTTAAATTGACCTCCCCTAAATGTTCGCTAACCCAATCTCATGAAAGCTAACAATGCTCGGCAAGGAAGACTTTGGTTTGGACTCGTAACACACACCCTAACCATCTCAATCGATGAAAAGCTGATCGACACAGAGAGGCAAGTGCTTACAGAGAGTTGCCATCTGACAACTGCAATGATAACCAGATGTCCGTCACGGATGGCCGCTGTCTCCATTTCTCTTTAATTTCACCAGAGATGTACTAAGGAACTTAACTCTATCTGACTTCATCAACTCAAGGGTTCACTTGTTACCACCAGGAATAATATCGTTGGCTTAGAAAATGTGGACGATATAGTTCTCCCTCCTCGGTGAAGACACTGACAAAATGCAGAGTCTTCTCAAATCCTTGAACAGCAGAAATCATCGAATCTTTCCCAATGCGATTAGATCCCACTGTCAAACGCAAGATGATGAGGCTGAAGGACTAGATTACATCGACTGACTCCTAGCTTAAACATACGAAGGGAGTGAAGTGGCGGCTCAGCGTGTTGACCACCATCTCTCCTATTTCAGAAATTGCATCAGCCATCACAGAAAGCCCGTTCGGCATTTGCCAACCAACGTACACCATCTCTCGCTTGGTAGACGTCATGTCCGCTGACTGGCTAATGATTAAAGGACATGTACGCTGCTCAGCAGTTCGCACTGTCCTCCTTTATGGTTGGCTGTGAGCGGGACATGGCATTGAAAAATGAAGATACGAAAGAGCTAGCTGTCTTTCTTCATAGATGTCTGCGTTCTATCTCCCGTTCTAAGTGGTATAATAGGGTGTGCAATATTGAGATTAGGTATCAGGCGAGTGCTAGGTAAAGAGGAGAAATCGATCGACGACGTTGTAAAATTACATCGATTCAGCTTGTTAGGACATGTGTTGCGCATATATGCCTAGCCATCCATCGCCTTCCTCGACTGATGGGAAATGTTAGCTGACTGACATAGGATCAGGTTGGAGAAGAGTTAGCTAGCATGTCATCGTCAAACCAAAACATGGCTACACCAAGCAATGAAATTCACAGTAGTAAGTTTAAACCACGTGGGGAGGCGTAAACTTCCTGGTTGTGGTCCTCCACATAGTAAAAGCCAATTGCTGAAGACAATCGGTGATATGGCTCGTTCTCAATGGCGAATATGCATTCACTCTTTGTGATTTATAATATCCAATAAAACTATATTATTCTTCCATATAACTATTTTTTCCCTTCATCACTTCCGTTTATCATCTCTCGTTTGAATGTCTCCTTAGTCGCTTCTCTCGCATTGTGTGTTACACGGAGTATGGCAACTCGAACTGCCACAAATCTGTGCAAAGTTCTACGTTGAAACCAGTCAATCAGAAGTAATCTCTTTTTAATTTACGCTTATTTACAGAAAAGCACACACAAATCAATGAACAAATAAATCTCCTATGCAGATGATCGATCTTCAGCGAATCACTTGCTCGAGCACTTATCAGAATAATTGATGATGAAAGTGATACACGTCACCATCAACAGGTGATCAGATTATGTCCGGGCTGGAAGTATCAACAACAAAGAACACAGTAAATGAAACAGTTGTGTTCTTTTACATGTTCACAATCTGCTCTATATTTATGGAAATGTTTTCAGTACAGTGGAAAATATTTTCAGCAAGAAAATTCAATTCACACACTGACAATATATCCAACAGCGATGTTGAACGTCTGCATTTATCGTAATATGGAATCACGTTGGAATGATTCGAAAGTGAATTGTGGATACTTGTAAACTTGTCCATAGCACAGAAAACGGGACTAGCTGTCGCCTGATCCTGGAGAAAATGTAGATGACATAAAACGAAGTAGAATTGTACTGAAATTTGTCACCACATATATACATATACATAAAAGGAAATTTACTTTTCAAATCTAATTGTATCGGACTCATTGAGAACAGTAGAAATATACACATGTCAAGAGTTGTTGAATCCACATAGAAAAGGCAAACCAAGTATCATGTATGATTACGTATGTCTCTTGCTGAATATTGGTGTTGTATTGAGAAAAGACAAAGAATGACGTTTGTCTAGCATAGATGCTCAGAGTTAAAATTTAAAAAAAACTTGAATACATGATCAAAAGATATATAGATCTAACGAAAAAGATAGCCGTTTTAACTGCAAGCAAAGCGAGTTTGTTTGAACTTAAAAATTGATGTGGACAGAACGCTCAATCGCCAGAAATCATCAGCTCCAACAGGCTACGTTTCGGAGTCGTACAGTAAGAATGCATACAACGAGATGTGAACCATGGCATTTAGTGAAATTCTGAAACGGTGACCGCACTAGAGGGCGAAAGACATCACTCTAACCTGGAATGCATTGGCATGTTTCTCTGAGGGTACTAATAAACTATTCCCTAACCAGCTTTCTTGGAGGATAGGTTTCCCGTGGGCCTCTAAAATTCAGTGACTCATTCTGGTTCTTGAATAGTTGTGCTACCTCCAAGATATCCGTCACGTTATATACATGCATGTTAACTAACCACAGAACTGTGTGCTTTAGAACACTGCCACTATATCCCAACTTAAGTGGTTTTCAAAGTGCGTCACATTCAACTGGCTAACAGACTGTCTAAGCGATAGTGTACTTCACAGAAGGAATTCCCTCTGTTCCTGCAACCTCAGCTGCTAACTTCCAGTAGGTTTAAGGTAGGTATTCAACACTCCCCATTTTGTTCGGCCAATGATGACCACTGACAGTTCTGTGGCTTCTACAGGTATTTCTCAACGACTTGCAGGTGATTCTCAGTGCCCAAAACATCCGGATCACTGGACTGCCTCATCCTCAATCTCACTTTTTTGGTTAGTACCTTACGTTCCCTACCTTTCACGGTCCTCGTCTATGTCAGTCTCTTCCCGGATAACCACCTCATTATCTAATATAGTGAGTGTTCTGAGTCCTTTCTATATTCCGGTCTCTTCTGCTTCACTTGAGAGTGTTTCGTAGAATCGTCTGTTGTCCTTCCTAACACTCCTCGTCACTTCCTTATTCAGTGAGTTGTACATGCCAATCAACTTCTCCTTCTCTTCTCCACATTTCCATTCGTTCATCTCCCGATTCACTATCCTCCTCTCCTCCATCAGCTTCCAGGTGTCCGAAGAATGCTATTACTTCTATTGCCTCTTCTTTCTCCCTAATACGACTGTACACGTTTCCTTCGACATCACATACACAGAGTCTCAGTGTTCGTTATTCCACACACGTTCCCTCAGTCATCCTACATAAGGTCTACCACTCTGCTCCGATGGCTGTAGTGATTGTGTCTTATCTAGTTCTGTCCTTCACTGTCTCAGTGTTCAACTTGAACTGTCATCTATCTCCAGTTGCTTTGAAGGCTCTCAACCATACTTTGAAGGTTCCTTGCACTAGATAATGATAGACTCAACCCACATCTGTGCAACCTTTTTCAACTGCGTGTCCACCAGAATGGGTATCCACATTTTTCAAGGAATGTTCAGATGAAGTCTATCTGATTTTCGTTGTGTCCGCCTTGTGTATGTCCTTGTCCTTCTACACGCTACCTCCAATCACCAAATCACCGAGTGCACAGAAACAAGTCACAGTAGAGTTCGCCGCCTGTTCTCATTCATTTTGCTGAGGCCTCAACCCTACTCACAATCAGTCCTCTCCCTCTATTATCTCCTCCCAGTTCCGCTGGGATTCATATCGCCCATTAGTATTATGATGTCACTACCTCACATCTGATCCACCACTGTTTGCATTTGTCTATAGAAATCTTCCTTTTTCATATTCCTCTTCTTCTTCTCCTGTTCCGAGTTGTCTGTAGGCGCGTAGCATTGGACTTCCATTTCAGTTCAACCTTCTTATCATAATCCTGAAGGAGATTGATTCCCACTGCATAGGAGCTTTCGGTGATATCATGATAGACTCTCATTGCATCAGTGTGCTTGAGGTTGTCATCTGGTGGGCTGGAGTTGATCACTGACTCTCTATTTGACAATTTGGAGAATCCAATTCCATGCCATGTGCTCTTACTCATCCCTAGCTACGGTATAACATATCTTCACATTTCTTTCACAATCTGAAAAGCCTTCCAAGCATCAGACATTTCCCTAACATTCCATGTCCCATGGTTAATTTTGTGTTCATTGAAATTAGCTGCCTCGTTTGACTCACTTCATGAAGACTTTAACCGAACCCTGTCTTTGCATCCCTCTTATTGCTACGAAGAATTGGTTTGTATTTTCAGTCTTTTGTTGTTTGAAGTTTTTGAGGATGTTTCGCTTCACGGATGCATCATGTCTCTTAGTCTGTTGATATGCGGAAAATCTGCCATTTGCGCTTCCATTCAACGGTATGAAAACGCACAGGTTATGGACGCAGGCAAAGCAGAATACATCGTTGACTTCATGAAAGGATTTAATTTGTCTACCGTTAACTGTCTGCCAACCTTTACCCATGACAGCTAACAATGTTCGGCGAGGAAAACGGTGGCTTTGAGTACATAACACGCTACAAATTGGAGAGCGAAGTTGGAGACCCTATGTAGGATCACTGAGGAATGATTGTCAACTGATACATCGAAGCTAATCGAGGAGAGCAGGATGGTGTAAGAGAAGTTGACTCAATGCAAAGATGAACAACAGGAGATTCTGAGTTCAATGTACACAGCAATGAATAAAGTGAAAAGACCACTAGAAAAAACAAAAGACAATTCTACGACACACTGGCAACTGAAGCAGAATAGGTTGCAGACAAAAGAGACATCAAGACGCTATATCAGATAACCAAGTCTCTATACGGGAAGAGATCAACCTAGATGATGAAACCAATAAAAGATGCTCAAGGGAACCTGATCACCAAGGAGGCGAAACAAATCAAACAATGGGCTTATCACTTTAAAGGACTCTTTAGTCGACCACCACCAGCAACACGACCAGAAATACCACCAGCAGCACACACGGAAGTGCCAATGGACACCACTCCTCCAGGGAAAGCAGAAATCCTGAACGCGATCAAGCTACTGAAGTCCAGACAGGAAGACAGCAGGACCACACGTCATTCCTCCCGAAGCACTGAAGATGGCCCCAGAGATTACCGCAGATGTTCTCACTCCATTGGTGCAAAAGGTTTGGAAAGAAGGTAAGGTGCTTACTGATTGGAAGAAGGGCTACCTCGTCAAACTGCCAAAGAAGGGCGACTTAGGCCTGTGCAAGAACTGGCGTGGAATAATGCTCTTCTCCACGCCAAGTGAAATACTAAGTCTCATCATCCTGGAGAGAATAAAGGATGCACTGGATACAGAACTCCGTCCGGAACAAGCTAGATTAAGGAAAGGCAAATTATGTGCCGATTAAATTGCAACTCTACGCGTCATCATTACAGAACAAAAGATAGCATGGCAGTCAAACCTGTACCTTAACTTCATCGACTTCGAAAAGGCCTTCGATAGACAGCGTTGACCAAGAAGTAATTTGGAAACTACCTCAACACTACGGCATACAGTGCTCAAGTCTTTATCAAACTCATTCAAAAATTGGCTATATGTTGATGCTACGTGTCAGGTGATTCACAACGGAAAACTCAGAGAGGCGTTCGAAGCGCATACAGGAGTAAGACAAACTGGCTGGCTGCCTATTATTACCGGTGATATTCTTAATTGTGGTGGACTGGATCATGCGTCAGACTGTTGGGGGCCAGGAGTCAGAAATACGCTAGACGACCGATGAGAAGACTCTAGGAGATCTGGATTTCGCACGTGGATGATATATGTCTTATGTCACACAAGCTCGAAGACTTGCAAACGAAAGCCAACAAATTGGTTGAAGAATTCGGCAGCGAAACAAGAGTGCAGGTGAACACAGAAAAGACGGAGGTGATGAAGATAACCAGCCAACAGCAACAACAACCAGCACCGATCATCATCAACGGGATGGCTTTAACAGAGGTTGCCTCCTTCACATATCTGGGAAGAATCGTTTCAACTACAGGCTGGCGGAACGGTAAGTGTTGCCTATGTACAAAAATCTGTCAACGGTTAAAGGTATGATAAATAAATCCACGTAAGGGCCTAAAATCCGACTTGTCTTCCCAAGTATCGCGTAGTCTACACATAATTATTAAACCTACAATTTTAGATACTGTGTTAGTCAAGCTTATCCTCCTAAGATTATCACAGGAGGACTTGTCTGAATTCAAGAATGGATGGATGAGTGCTTTTACAGAAAACAACTATCCTAGGTGGGCAGATATGTTGTATAACTACTGGTGTTTATCACAGACAAAGGTTAGACACCTCAAGCGAATTCTCTTAATTGTAATGAAATGTTCCGGTTTTCTAAAACGCCTAAATAACACTTTGCAGTTCACTAAAAGGAAACACTTTCAATGTGTATAGTTGATCAGATGCTTTGCAGCAACATTTCCTAAAACCTACTAGAAAACAGACTGCAAAGAGACATGGCTTTAGTAATTTTCACCAAGCTAGCCAACCGGATGGATTGGTCTAGCATACTAATCCATTTTATGACTTGTGATGAAGGTTTCAAAGACAATTTTCTCTGTTTGATTCGTATATGTGTTGAATCTCCCAAAAACCATCTAATTTCTGAATTCTACAATTTTGAAAATAGGACTAGATATTTTTACTTTTAGTGGTGTCAAATATCGTCAACTTCAATTTGATAAGTGAATTATGATATCTAGACAAGCAGATCAACGTAAACAGCAATGTGTAATATTCGTTTTTCAGTCAATTGTGAGATATTCTGCCTGAAAATATCCCACAACAGCTGACAGTCTATCATATTACATTATCCTGATTTTCAAACTAGAGAAATAAACAAGGCTACAAGAATACTAATCCGTAAACAGACATCTATATATATGTATACATATACCACAAAATTTATTTCTGCCCATAAGCTGATAACAATCATGTCAACTCCAACTGCATTTAACAATTCACCAGCATTTAAGGCAGAAAGTACATAAGGAACGACTGAGAGTAAAGCGCGTCTAAGAGATTCTCCAAGCATATCCCTAAAAGTCTCTGCTTGTAAGGTAGCAAAGTGTTCTCAAGCGCAATTGTCACATAACACCTAATTGACACGAGACATACAGTTGATATTAGTCAATCGTTCAAAATAATCAATGCATAAAGAAAAGCATGGTTACTTCAGTTCGCAGAAGCAATTATACCACTATCAAAAGGCTTCGACCCGACCAATGTATACAGAAAGATAGTGTGACTAATCTCTAAATACCCTGGTAACCGTAATTGTTTTTTGTCGTATGCTTTTGTGTTTTCTTCTGTCGCCCAACATTCCACTCAATCTTGATTTTGATTTTTACTCAATGAGTTTAACTCACCACTACTATGTTTCCATATCTACCAAATTATTTTGTCTATATTATAATTCGAATTCACTATTCATCCTAACCCATCCTTGTTTCCAAGCGAAATCTGAACTCTGTCCCCATTCTTGTCTAACTATTATATGAATAGTTACTCTTCTAACGGTGAATAATTCTTCTACTTACACCACCTTTGAAATTATGTTGCCTATACTTTCTATCTATAACTCGAAGTCACTGTGAGAAAAGTATGTTCAAACATTATTTTGTAACCTATAATTTGATTTTGTTTGGGATGTAAGTAGTTGAAGAGGCAGAATCGACGAAATAAAACCAGCTCGTTTTATCCTGGAACTGCAAGTATGTTTGTTCTTTTTATATTCAAACCATTAAAAATAACTGGCTGTGTAAAATTTTTTTTTAAATATGGTTTCATTCACTTACCAAACATACACCGAACGGCCTTGATAGAAGGTAGACTAACTGTAGAAGTAGAAGAAAAGGATTCGTGAAAAACCAATAGTAGAAATTCAATACACATCTTCGAACACAATATACAGAGAATGGATCACATCCGGTGCATGCAAATATTGAAGGTAGAGGGTATGAAAATCCGCCATTTCTACTGTCTTCACGTAGACGGTTTTGATATTCATTAACAAATAGCAACATGAACACTTTCGAGATTGCATATTGCTTCATTCTGTCAACCAACGATACAGGAACAGCTTGAAATGTCTCTGAAACATTCGACCTCTTGATAATAAAATCATCTAAACTGGCGTCTCTAAGGTGAAAAGAATGACACGTTATATATAAAGGAATAAAGTATATCAATATACAATATGCATAAAATCGGCGGTAAGATTAAAAATTAAATATTGTTGATTGAAGGTAGAGGGTGAAACGATCAGGTCTAATGAATTTATAACAGACTATACTACTGGTATCTTCTGGTTAGAATTCTTATATACTATTTGTTTTAATCCTTTGCATTCTGAGTGGAACAAATGGCTTCAAGTTTGAGCTTTGAAGTTTCACTGGCAGTGATGTGTGTGTTCTCCTCCGGAGTGGGCGGGTTACTAGCCTCAAGCCCAATCTTCTCTCTTCACCTGACTTAATACCGACTTAGCGACGCCTAGGAGTGCGTCAGCAGTGGATTGAATTTCGACCAATTTGCGCCGTAGGCAAGCCATCTCTACCGGTGAACCACCGATACACTGTGATTTGAATACATTCGTTGAACCACCCCCTTATATTAACGACATTCTCAGTTGATAGAACACGCAATGAATGCTCCTCTTATTCTAATACATATATGAGCTGATCTGTTTCACCCTATAATATCCCAACTTCTTTTATTCCCTCTTTCTTTACACTCGAATCATTTTGTTAGGAGCATGAATAATGAAAACACACCTTTTCGTAGAGAACACCTGCATCACGTACTTCTTCAGATAGAACTGACTGATTCACTGGTTTCCCACATAGAACTTTGCACAATTGTACACCATTCAAGTTGCCACTCTCCCTCCTTCCATGTAGCAAACAAATCAAGAGAAGAAAGGAAAGTGAGGTTCATCAGAGAGAGAACGATCATAAACACAAGTGTGAGTAGTGGAAAAAGAATAGTAATATGGAAGAAGGAGAAGAAAAAGAAAAAGAATGGAATTCTATTGGACATGACAAACGTCAAAGAGTGAATCAATACATCTGCACCATAATTGACAACGATGATTTTCAGTCAGTCATATCTCCTCCGATTGTCTCCAGACTCCATCGGTTACTACCATCTCGAGGATCCCAATCAGTCAGTCACAAAGTCTACACTTCCCTACGCTGCTGGCTAGCTGACTGACTGGCTGGCTGGCTGCCTGGCTTAAACTAACTGTTGTCACGGATTTCATTGACTGATGAAGCCGTCTTTTCGTTTGACCACCACATGCTAGCTAACTCATTTCCAACCTGATCCATCCTGTGTCAGCCAAGCTAGCATTGCCCGTCAGTCGAGGAAGGTGATGGATGGCTGAACAGACAGACAGGTAGGCAGGTAGGCAGGCAGGCATGCATGCACGAGTAACACATGTCCTTACCATCTCACTCAACCGATGCAACTGCTTCACAACCTCGTCAATAGATTTATTTTACCTCCTCCTGCTCCTCATCCTTATCCTCCTTATCGAGTACTCGACCGATGCCTCACCAACTCAATATTACTCACCCTACTACAAATACCACCTAAACTAGCACGGGATGTAAACAGAAGGCAAACGACACAATAATGATGAAAGACAGCTAGTTGGCCGGCGTTTTCATGTGTTTCACTTCCAATGGTTATGTGTCGCTATGTGTCACAGACATAAAGGAGGACAGAGCGAACTGCTGAGCAGTGCACCGCACTTCCTTTGGTCAACAGTCAGCAGGATATCAAGTGTACGCCAGAGATGGCACAGAAAAATTAGAACAGTTAAGAAAAGCTTTTAGTAGTTTTGCATGACACGTATAATCTCGCAGAACACCTGAGTGAGTATACGAAGTATAAATAAAGAGAATGTGTCTATACAACTGAGAAGGAATCAATTAACTGTCCTTGACTTAAATTACGGCATACTTCGCTGTCAGTACACGAATCACAATCACACGTTCCATTAGATGACACAATCACCCTTTCATTAGGATCACATGCAGACCTATTACGAGGGTAGCAGTCACTTCGAGGTTGAAACGGAAATAATCTGTAGAGCAGGTCATGCGTGAGGAAAAATGATCGCCACCGATGACATTGGCTAGTGCCAAGCACACTATATTGCGAATTGGTAGAAGTTGGAATTCATGGGCTGGTTGGCTGGCTGTTGGACAATATACCAGTGGGTTAATGGTCTACGAGCTCGCCTTGCAACTGGCAAGTCATCGGTTCGAACTCTGGCGGTGGGTACATACTGCTTAAGAGTCCTAAACTAGGCTGACAAAATGAATGTTCAGTACTGCCAGATTGTTTTCTGATGGTTTTCTGACCGAAGTCAGCTCATGATGAAATCCTCCATGCAATCAAACAAAAATACCTACAAAACCAATATTTGAAAATTAATCTGATGCTCACTAGCGACTGGCCCTATTCAGGCAGTGACCTGGGGTTCTAGTGAGAAGCCATGACCACTAGGGTACAGGTTGAATATGAGGCAGTAACTCATCAAAGCTGACATTGCGAAGTGGTCGCGCTATGTCGTGAATTGGCAGAAGTTAGAATTCAAGGACAATCGGATCGAGTCCCAGTGGCTCAATGGTCTACAAGCTAGCTCACCTTGTAACCAGAAGGTCCTGGTTTCGAAAACCAGTGGGTGCGTACTGATGAAGAGTCCCAAACTAGGACGAAGCAGCTGTCCACTAATTCCAGGTTTTCCAGTGGTTCTCTTACTGATGTCAGCTCATGATGAAATCCTCCATGCAATCAAACTCAAAATTATCTTTTACGCTATTTCTTCACGAGTTTCTTGTTCAACGGCGGTAAAATCTGAGCAAGCCATTACGCGGTTGAATGGTTTAGCGAGCTAGACACATATTGACGACCGGAAAGCCGCTTTTAAGAATCTTAGCCAATGATTAGGAACTAAATGAAAAGGAATATATTTCTTCGATCAATTAGTTGTGCGTTTTTTCTAAATATGTAAACGGGAATTTCGCGATTACAAATGATTAATATTTCTCGACTTTCTCCTTTACCAACTTGATATTATAAATATTATTATTATTATTCATTATTATTCATTTCTTAACAAACGCTTACTTGTGAACCTCTGATGTAACCACCACTACACGCAAACTGGACTGATCATGTACTGAACTGTTCAACTGAATGTCAGAAGAATGCGAAGAATGTATATATCTTGTTTTAAATAGTCCAGTTAAAAATAAAGCAGGAGCTATATAATTACACTGCATTGTAATTTCATATCCATCAGTCGTCAACAATGAATTAAGCTTAGATGGGCATCCACACGATAAAGGAGGTCTCCATGATGAAGGTAAAACTTTTGCAATCACTTTGCAGACTTTCGATTGATAACTTCTTAGATATCTGGAGATAGATGCCAACCATCCTGAAGTTCTTTGAAGAAAGAATGCTTTCAAATGTGACTGAAAACTAGACAAAAAAAACAAATGAAACAGTGGTAAATATATTTTAAAGTGTATACAATTATAGGATTTCATCATGAGCTGACATCGGTTAAAGAACCGTCCGAAAACCTGGGAGTAGTGAACAGCTGTTTCGTCAGCCTGGTTTTTGACTCTTCGGCAGTACGCACTGACCGGCTTAACGGTCTACGAGCTCGCCTTGTAACCGGGAGGTCATGGGTTCATACTGTTGGAGAGTCCCAAACACTGGGACGGAACAGCTGTCCAGTACTCCCGGATGGTTTTTTGATGGTTCAGCTCATGATGAAATCCTGTGTAACCAATCAAATCCCTGCAAACCAACAGTTGTATTTACACAATTATAATTATTCTCAAAGTATTCAACATGATGGAACTTGCAGACATCACAGTGATGACGAGATTTGGATACATAAACACATATGGTTTCATTGGATATCATAAGTCACAAGGAGTGGATGGATCTGCGCCAGCAATTGAGGACGATTTTGAGCCATTTCACCGATTTTCTCCAGTCATTGGTTTTTACCAACCTGAGGACAGCAACCAGGAAGTCTACGTCTTCCTTCGTGGCTTAGACTAACTGTTGTGGATTTCGATATAAGTATAAAACTTGGGCACTGTGGTAGAGTATAATTCCATAATGGATAAGATTTTATTTTGATAAATCACACAGTGTAGTACAGTACTAGGAAGCTTATCAATAAACTCACACGACTTTCTCAAACAGAAGCAAGATTCACGAACCATCGGATTTTCAACAGTCGATGTTTGAAAAATCATATAACTCCAAAATATTTACACATACGCACTCCAATTACTTCAAGAAAAATATCGTCAGCCTCTGAACATCTCAGTAGATTATGTTTAAGAGAAGAACTACATCGAATTACTGTGAAACTCAATAATATACGAAATGAAATCGAAAAACTCAAACGGAAACTCAAATGTATGGTCAATGACAAAGATTATGTAATTGTTGTTGAAACATCCGAAAAAGCTAGAGAATCAGCATCAAGAAAATCAAAAGCCACACAGATCAAAAAATTCAACAAACTAATTGAAGAAAGGAACGCAGCAAATAAAATTGATGTCAACGCTTCATCCTCGATCGACAAAACAAAGTGGGTGATCAACCTCTCATCAAAGGAACTAAGCTCTAGTGAGATAAAAGTACTTGAGAAAGGACTAAATTTCAATGTAACAGTTAACAAATTGAAACCAGAGGATGTCATTCCTAGCATAGAAGTAGCGCTAGGTTCAATAGATAAGACAACAGCAGAAGGGGTTCGAGCACAATGTGCGTTAGCCCTCAAAAATCAAAAGAAGGCAAAATCAAACTTAACAAAATTGGAAAGAGAAGCTTTAATTAGTCTAAAACAGGATAAAAATATTGTCATTGCAAAAGCTGATAAAGGAAACGCCACCGTAGTTCTGAATAAATCTGACTATATCAAAAAAGTTATTGAACATATTCAAACGGGTCCATATGAGGAAATTAAGAAGCCTGTAGATACAATAATGAATAAGGTTAAGAAATCTACAGTAGAACTAATACGCAGAATGAAGCCGTCACTGGGTGAGTCTAAATGGTTTAACTTAATGCCTAAAACTAATAATGCTAGTAGATTATATGGTACTATTAAAATACATAAGCCAGGATACCCAATAAGGCCAATAGTAGATTTTAGAAATACCCCAACTTATGAATTATCAAAACACTTAGCTTTAATACTATGCCCTATCAGAAATAATTCAAACTCTAGATTAACTAATTCATATGAGATGAAAAGTAAACTAAATGACATTCAACTAGCGAATGACGAAACAATGGTCAGTTTTGATATAACCAGTCTTTATACTAATATACCAGTCAATATGGCCTTAGAAGCAGTTAAAAAAGAACTAACTGCGGATACTGAACTCAATCATAGGACAAAGCTGTCCATTGAAGAAATTATTTTAGGGATTCAGCTATGCCTCACATCTACTATCTTCAAGTTCCAAGGCAGAATATATAGGCAAACAGAAGGTGTAGCAATGGGATCACCAATATCCCCTATTGTAGCAGACATCTTTATGGACAGCTGGGAAAATAGTGCTCTCAATACATTTAATCCTAGGCCAAAAATATGGTGGAGATATGTAGATGACACATTCACAGTGTTAAAAACAGAACATATCTCTAGCTTCTTAACACATATAAACTCACAAGTAGAAGGAATAAAATTCACATTTGAATCAGAAAATGAACAAGGAGAATTAACCATGTTAGATTGTAAGATAAAACGAATAGAAGAAGGCAAACTACACACTAGTGTTTATAGAAAACCAACGCATTCTAATAGATATTTAGACTTTAATTCGTCTCACCCGTTAACTGTTAAGGCAGGCTTGGTTAAGTGTCTGACAAACCGAGCCATAGCACTAAGTAGCACAAAAAAGGACCTAAATGACGAAATAAAACAGATAGAAGAAGCGTTGGTGTTGAATAACTATCCTATAAAATTCATTAAGAAGATCAGCAAAGGCCAAAAACAAAATAAAAATAATTGTGTAACTAGTAGTAATAACACAAATAAGAGAGAATATAAGTCTTCTACTGTTATACCATATAAGGAGGGGACATCTGAGGCCCTACGTAGGATTCTCAATAAAGCAGGAATTAGGGTGGCATTCAAACCAACAAACTCACTCAGAGACAAACTTTGTAGGTTAAAGGACCCGTTGGACCCAATTAAACAAAATAATATAATTTACAAAATACCTTGCAACGACTGTGAAGTCAACTACATAGGTCAAACTAGTAGGTCAGGGATAGTCAGATTATCAGAACATAAGAATTTAGCTAAAGGGAAAATGATTGACCCTGAAAAGATAAGTAATTTAGAAAAAAGCTCAGCTATTGCACTTCACGCAATAACAAACAACCACACAATAGGGTGGGATAGGGTTAAAATTCTAAAACGTAATATAGGTAGGTGGAAAGAGAGGTTGATTACGGAATCCTTATTCATCGAGTCTACACCCAACACATGCAACAGAAGTGACTCAATGCAAATACCAGAAATATGGAAGATATTATTACCGCCAGTCAAATCAGAAGAAGATGATAAATAATCTTAAAATTCTATTTCCATTCAAACACATCAACACATTCTAACAATCAACTTATTATGACTATAAAAACACTCGTCGTATTTCCCATCTAATTGCAATGGATTAATAACACTCGTATTATTGCCACCAGTCAAATCAGAAGAAGATGATAAATAGTCTTAAAATTCTATTTCCATTCAAACACATCAACACATTCTAACAATCAACTTATTATGACTATAAAAACACTCGTCGTATTTCCCATCTAATTGCAATGGATTAATAACACTCGTACTACTATTTCTGAATGTACATTATCTCATATTGAATTTTATTCCAATATCTAGTCGATTCCACACATGTATATAAATGAAGGAAAGAAGTTGTGTGAGTAACTTGATATGATTATGAGCAATAGTTTGTGCTCGAAACGTCATCAGTTAATATAACTGTACTACACTGTGTGATTTATCAAAATAAAATCTTATCCATTATGTTGTGGATTTCATTGACTGGTGCCATGTTTTCGTTTGACCACCGCTAGCTCTTTTCCAGCCTAACCTTATGTCAGCTAACATCGCCCATAGAGGAAGGCGATGACTAGACATCCGAAACACATGTCCTAACCATCTCAATCGATGTAGCTTCACAGCCTCGTTGATTGATTTCCCCTCCCACCTACGCACTACTCGACCGACGCCTAACCTCAATATTGCTCACCCTAGGATGCCACATCACACGGGAGATAGATCTCAGACACTTACAATCAAAGACAGCTAGCGTGGCTCTTCATATCTTCCACTATCAATGACCATTTCTCGCTCACAGTCATAAAAGAGGATGGAGCGGACTGTTGAGCAGTACACACGCCCTTTGGTCGATAGCCAGTCGGATATCACGTCTACGCCAGAGACGGCGTAAACTGGCATATGCGAAACTAGCCCTCTGTATTCGTGCTGAGATTTCGTCAGAGATCAACCCGTTGGGGCTGATGGTACTTTCCGAGTAAGTGAAGTGGTCAACGTGCTCTACCACTCCACTCTCTATTTGTAAGCTAGGAGTGAGTGTAGTCCAATCCTGTAGCAACATCTTGCATTTGGCGGGAGCGAATCGCATGGCAAACATTCGAAAATTTCTGCTGTTCAAAGTGTTCAGAAGACTCTGCATTTTGTCAGCGTCTTCACCTAAGAGGGAGGACTATATCATCTGCATATTCTAAGTCAACGAGATTATTCCCTGGCGGCAACAAGTCAATCCCTGAGTTGCTGAAGTCACTTGAGGGTAAGTCCATTAGTGCATCTATGATGAAACTGAATAGAAATGGGGATGGTAGGCATCCCTGACGGACACCAATAGTTGTCACCACTTCAGATGATAACTCGCCGTAAGCTCTCACCTGACTGATGGCATGAGTTCCAGTAGAGTGCCTTGATCAGTGCAACGTAGTTTCCGGGTTCGAACCCTGGCGGTGGGTCCATACTACCGAGGAGTCCCAAAGTCGGGCGAAACACTTGTCTAGTACTCCCGGGTGGTTTCCCAGTGGTTCTCCGACTGATGTCAACTGGTGGTCAAACCTCTGATCCATAAATGTTTACTCAGCTCATGTGGATGTTTTGGGCTAAAATCAATCACCTATGAGTATAACCCAGCGGAAAATAAAACTACATCTACAAGTAGTCTGTTTAGCTTAAGAAACACAGTGAACGCAACAAAATATTTGTAAGCAATCGTTAGTATCAGAAAACGAAGCTATCAACTTTATTACTTTACATCTTTTCCGCGCCTCTCTCTTTTCGAGATGAAGGTCAGACAGAAATATCCACTGTTAAACTATTAAACTAGGGGTTTATTTTTCATTCTGCTACAATTATTTTCACGGATATGTAATTTACTTTCGCAACCAAACAAAATCCCTGCTAAATAAACTGTCCTGAGAAACTTGATTTCGTAACACTAAGTAAGCACACATTAGAGTACATACAATACTATCAAGCGAATACATGTTAATCTCTGCAGGGGAGATATATACCACCACTAAACAGAATTCATTGTAGAACAACATAAGCAAGAAATCTACTTGGAGGAACAAAAGGAGAACTGGTCAGATATTGCGCTCTTCGATTTGAACAAGCCCGTGAAACAGTGTTGACCTCGATTCATTGAAGGTTCACACCGCTTAAGAGATCTAAGTTAGAACACAAGCAGGGGGAGCTGTTACATGCGCACACTCACACACACACATATATCATCCTTTGGTTTTCACGTAACCTATCTAATCAATGTTGGTTCCTGACAAAGTCTATCACTGAGGAAATATAACAGAACTTGTTGAAGATTTGCATTTGACAACAGTTATAATCATATTAACGATAAAATGTACCATAATCACCTTTTAAGAAAAGAGAAATTCCACAGATGAGGCGATACAACTGGAAACATATCATCAGCTATGATACAGAAGTGTAAAGGCCAGTTCAGTGATTGCAATATCTGTTGAAAAAAGGAACAAAATATCATAGTCGAAAAACAAAACAACTACGTAACCCGAAAAGGGTATCAAATGCGCATATATATATATATAAATAGCTTTGATAACGGATTGATATCAGTCAGAGAACCATTGAAAACCATAGATTAGTGGACAGCTGTTTTGTGCCAGCTTAGGACTCATCGGCAGTACGCACCCACCGCCAGGGTTCGAACCCAGGACCTTCCAGGGTCGATTCAATGGCCCATAAATGCCTTCAGTTCTTAATTGAAGATGTTGGCATTAAATTTTACTTACATATCTCTAGACGACTACTTCTTTGCTATCTTATTTTCCTTACACAACTATCAGCCAGCATCTGATTTACTGTGATGACTGTGTAGAAATATATATTTAATCGAATCCCTTCAGAGGCCTATGATACGACCACCATTGAATAATTTGCTTTAATTTACTGCACTCTGTTAGCACTGATTGGTGGTGGTAAGGTACTTATGACGAATTCCAGAAAACTGCATACTGATTTTCAATCAAACCTACGTGGAAAGTATGCCTAATAGATGAGTCGTTCAACCTCCTTGATAAATAGAAATTATTTCAAAAACTACTTCTACATGCACTTTATATAAACATATAGGTTTGGAATTCCAAAAAAATTTCTGTGAGAAGGCTACGAGCAGCTATGGGAATAAGCAATCTATTGACTACTACTAGCTGCAAACGATTATTATTTACCATTCCGTTTAGTTCCGAGTGGAATGTACGGCTTCATCAACAGCACATCTACATCTCATCCTGTTCTCTGCAGTTCACTTCAGATGGCTCCACTATTACCCACAGGCTTTCATCTCCGCCTCACTCGATTTACACCATGTCACACTCGGACGCCCAATTTCTCCTCACATATTCGGGTTCCAATCGATGGCAATCAATGGTATCCTCAGCGAGTGTCCGGTCCATCTCTATTTTCTACCGGATTGTTTTTTTTTTGAGCAACAGGTTCTCGATTGGTTCATTCCAAGAGTTTCTTGTCGCTGATTCTCCCTGGCCATTTCATCCTCAACGTGGGGTCGGTCGGTGAAGGTAACTGTTTATCAAACTCCGCAGTAGCCGCCAGTCGGAAATGCTTTTCATGACACGCCAAGTTTCTCACTCATACAGAGGAACTGACTGACTTCACACTATGGTTTGAAAATCCAAATTCTGTACTTTATGCCGAGTGCAGACGATTTCCAAACTGAATTCAGATTGGTGAAGGTTCGTCATACCTTTCCAATGAAAAATGCATTCCACCTGTAATTGAAAATTTGCTTCCTAGGTGAGTGAAGGAAGGTCACCCTTTCTAAATTTCTTCCATGACAGTGATTGATTCTTGTTGTTGGATGGTTATCTTCATCACCTCTGTCTTCTGTATGTTCACTTCAAGTCCTGACTTTTCTGCCAGCCTCTTTAGCCGACTTGTTCGTTTTCGCCTGGAAGTCTTCGAGTCTGTGTGACATTGGACATCAATCATCTCATATGTAGTCACATGATGTCTGCTTTGTTTGGACAATCTGGTATATTTTGCCATGTGTATATTGATCGTTATTCCATTTCAACTCACAATATGTTTTGTCTGTCTATTAACTAAGTAAAAAATGTATGACCTTTATGTCACATGACATTACAACCAATCAGAATCCAATGATGGTAAAAAAAAACTACTGTCTATTTTATTGGTACATGTATGTTAGTCATTTTCATATATACTTTTGTATAGTACAGTTAACACTCTTCCACACTTTTCTGTACTTCTATTACTTTCCCACTCACACTCTTGTGTGACACTTAATTTCCCTTGTTGGAAAATACACGTATCATAGTGAACGTGGTAGTCTTCTGATTTGCCTCTTCGTGTCAGGACAAATAAACCACTCAGCAGTACCAGTCTGTACGTTATCGTCGGTTATATCTCATTGGCGCATATTTATATTCGGTCACATCATAATATCGCGTCGGTGGCATAGCGGTTAGGATGCTCGCCGACCATGCACATGGTCCTGCGTTCGATCCCCGGCCGACGCACTCCTTTACCTCACTAAGCGAGAAATAAAGCTGGTAAAGGGGAAAGGTTGGGCATGAGGCCAGCAACCTCATCCTGTAAAAATAAACACTGCTACAGAAACTTCAAGCCTCTAGCTTGAAGCCCTATGTTCCACTGGGAACGTGAAGGAATAAAAAAAAACATCATAATATCGGCAACGACCCCATAACTTATTGACGACGAAACATAACATCATCCACTCGTGAAATCCAGACCTTCTAGAATCTTCTTATCGGTCAAATGTACTCCTGTCTTCTAGCTTTCCATGGCTTGCCTCATGATCCAGTACAGTAAAATTAAAATTAGGAAAGTCATCGTGGGTGATAGTAGGCAGTTTTGTCTTCATCCTGTCTTCATTTCAGACTCTTAGCTGAGTTTTGCGTTGCAGAATACTTGATATGTGACATCGTCATATAGCTGCAGAGTGTGGTTGATAAAGACTTAGGGCACGCCATAGTGTTGAAGTAGTTTCCAAATTACTTCGCGGTCAATGCTGCCCAAGGCATTTTCAAGATCGATGAATTTGAGGTAGATATTTGACTAACAAACGACAGGCTATTATATCCCAAGTGATAAAACCAGTAGATGGTGTTTAGAGGAAAACTAAAAAAACTTACATCAAGAGATTGTGTGATGCTGGATAGTTGTAAAGGGTCGTAAGGTATCCAAAAGAGTTGGCCAGAATCTTGAATAGCTGATTTTGATGAAATAACGTCTACAATTGTACCAGTCTTGTTATGTGTTTCGGTGTGTTTCAACAAAGGGATAGCCTTGTTAGGACATTTAGAACAGGCGCATACAACCACCGCTCCATGTTTCACAAGATGAAGAGCAATTGACAGGCCGAGACCACAACCTGAATTGGTAACAAGCGCATACTGTCCACGAAGATCTTTGTTTAACAAAATCTAAAACACAACAGTTATTCCATATTAGTTTGTTTATTAGGTATATCACACAGTGAAACAGTATTATTTACTGGATGAAGTTTCGAACGAAATTTATTGTTCATAATCATATCAATTGTAATCACACGACTTTGAAACTTGAGTTTTATAGTTTTCTTTGTCTTCTCCTATTTGTCATTGACAACAAACAGTTAGTTACATTACAAAACGGAAAGAAGACGAATAGTATTCAAGCAACGGTTTTATTATAAAGTTACGCATTATTTAATTCTTGTCTTAACCGCACCCTCAAGTAACGTTCAAACTACTTGGGAGAAAAGTAGTTCAATTAATACACTAGTGCCCGACTGTCAAGAGACTGGAAGACAGAGTGTATGAAGCATCATTATAAAAGTGCTTTTCGTATTTTCTAATGAATGAAAAATAAAACGATATTGTTGTTGTTCTTACTGACGTTTCGCTACTTAATGCTGCTAATATCTTTATCAAATTATTATTGAACTAGAATTTACAAAATCTCAGCTCATGTATAACAACTTAATCATTGTTCATCAGCATGGGATAATTTTGTAATATTTTTATCTATATTCAAGAAAATACACTCCAACAGATACTTAAACTTTCGATCATCGCATCCCATCAGAGCAAAGGTGTATCAGTTGTCTCAAGTCTTCTTAGATGAGCACACTCGTTGATAACGGATGAGGAGGCAAAAGAAGAAATATCTAATACTACTGAAGAAAAATAACTACCCACACAACTTCATTACCAAAATCAACGCCAACAGCATCAAACATGGTCGAAAACGTATTCCGAAGACATGAACCTCAATAAATGTCGTTCCATATCGATCAGAAACGGCAGACGATATCAGAAGAGTACTTGATAAACACAACACCAAAGTTTTCTTCAAAACATCAGACTCACGCACACTACAAAGCAGCCTTATTCTTGTAAAAGACCGAATTCCAAGGGATTCACAATCTAATTGTCTAAAAAATAAAATGCTTGGAATGTGATGCGATATACACATCAGATAAAAACCGCTAGAAATCAAGGTAACCAGGAGAAGTGAACACCGTAGAGCACCTGTTTAACCACAAAGAAATCCAGTTGAGAAGTAGAAAAGCTGGAAAAACTATCAGCTATGGGTCGTCTACACGCCATGGAATCAAGCCACAAAATTGATTTTAACAATATATGAAATAATGCAGAAAAATCTCAGATATCACAGAGAGAGTCTAGTACTAAAAGCACTTCGAATTAAATGGAATCCGAATTGTCTGAATAGAAATGATGGACTAAGACAGAATTTGACCTGGTTGCAACACCCACCCCCACCCCCGTGAAGCGACAAATCAACGCAGATGTGGGATAAGCAATTTCATTAAGTAAACACTCACGTGCTGTTTTTATAATCCCATACACTTATCAAATCCAACAGTCTATACATGGTTTTGTTATCTTGACAATGTAAAAATGTATAAAGCATCATTAGAATGGTAGTCAAGGTCTGGACGGAAAGATTGAGAAATTTATTAGTATATTATTCATTTTAATTGATTAAAGATGCCCGTTCGAAATTTTAAAAGATTGTTTATTGAACAGAGAATATTCTTCTCGATAACCCCTTCTTCATCAGGTTCTACAGTTATACATCAATATTAATGAACAAATGATTGTTGTTGACAACATTAGTGGTTTATTTAAAAAGAGTAACATTGAATCGTTTAGATTAGAATTCCAAAAGTTATTTGCAATTAGACTGTTGTTAATAGATTATAGTCCAAAATATATGTGTGTATGTGATAATATGCAAAATTGTAATGCTAACTAAATTGAACACCAATATTACAAAGTAAATGACTATGAATGACAACGAATGAACAGAAATAATTTCTCATGAGTCATGTTCATATTAAGTTCTATTCATTATGATTATAAATTTCAAATGGATGAATGCTCATGTCAAGGACGGGGGTTATATGCGTGTCAGTGAGTAAGTTAATAATTACGTTTAAATAAGAAAACAAAAGGATCAAGGGCCATATCAAAAAGGCCGATATAATAACGTATTTATGAATTCACAAACTCCACAGCAAGTCAGGGCAATAGTAGTGGTTGGACTTGTTTCTTCTGTACAGAGAGCGCTGGTTGTCTCAGGTGGATCGCGAAAGCCTCTGCTGTATGGAGTATGCGGTACCTGGATGTTTTTGGCAACTTGTTTGGTACCCGAGAGATGATGGAGAACCAACTACACGTGCCGACTGTTAGTTGAATAATACATTATGAACCCCTTAAAAAATCGCGTATCTTGACTCCAAAGTCAAATCGGAATTCTGTCTGAGCGCTTGTTTTAATTTTGGCTTTGTTAGTGAATAGATTGCACGTTATTTAAATCAGTAGTTCAGTGAAGTGCTTGTAAAGCTAACCAAGACTGTACCCGACACCTCCTAGAAAATCTTTGAAAAATAGGGAAATGCCTTGTTTTCAATGTTGAGTAAGGATAATATATTTACAGGCTCAAGTCCCCTACAGTAGTATCACATTTAACACGTTTTTTAAATACTATCGCTGTTGCAATGACATATAAAGCCAAACAGCTTACCAAGGTTCATGCGTTTCGACTTTAATGCAATCCAACGAAACACATACTCACACCATCACTCTCCAGACTATAAATTACACCTTATCGTATTTAGAGAAAGTCAGTCACACTGACTAGGCACGTCTAGCAATACCTATGAGCACTGACGGCGTCTACCCCGACCGATAGCTGCTACCCTGACGTGGTGGTCGGGCTCGCATATCGCAATGACCCAACGAGCTACACTGGCTGGAATTTATGTTCCTGTAGGTCCTACCATGCCAGAAAGGTTGTTTGGATAGCGGTTAGACAAAAAGCAGTTACCCAATCCAATACTATGATTCAAACAAATTCACAAAATATCATGCCGGATCGGTCGGAGCCCGGATTAACAACGACCGCGCTTCCTGCTGCTGTGTCACAGGGCAGAAGTGATAAATATGCTACTGAGACACATCAAACAAGAAAGAACAAACAAAAACAGGCCGCGTGTGACCGGCCTCAAGCAGTTGTCCCCTGGGCTCTGCGGTCACGCAACACTAACCTTTTCTCTATTTCAGGTACCCGAAGACTCAACCAACTCCCACGGTGTGGGCAGCCAGGAAGTAACAACCGCCCACACACTTCCAAAAGCACACAAAGCCTACCTGAGCACCACTCTCATTTACTCACATCACCTTCCTCATATTGCTTCTCTACTACAGTTAGTACTATTCTTCAGGCTAGTGAGTCATCTTCACTTCACTCTGCGACCACAAACAACGATGAGAGCCATAGAAACACCCCAGATAGCCTTTTAAAGCCACGTCGCCAACTTCATATAGGAGCTTTTAATGTCAGGACCCTCGAACAGGCATCACTAGCAAGAACTCTGGAATCAAGAGCCATGGATGTATGTTGTGTTTCGGAGACACGCATACAAGACCCGAGTGTGGTCATTCACTTGACCTCACCCGGTCAACAAGGTGAATCTGCAAAATTCACTTAAGGGTTTCGAGAGACCCCTCATCTTGCTCACGAGGACTCGTAGGTGTAGGGATAGCACTGAGTGTTAGGGCGGAAAAATCATTTCTTGACTGGATCCCAGTAGATAGTCGTATGTTTGCGGTCCGTCTGAACGGGTCCGTTAAAAGAAGGAAAGACGGCGCTACCCGTCGTTGCCTTTTCGTAGTCTCCGCTTACGCCCCAACAGACTGCAGTTCGGATGAATTAAAAGATGACTTCTACCTGAAACTGTCTAATTTGCTGCAAAAAGCATAACGTTCAGACATAGTTGTTTTAGCAGGCGACTTCAATGCCCAAGTAGGGAAATTGTGCCAGACTAAGAAGTATGTAGGTGGTACGTATGGAGTTCCCTGCCAACGAACCGACAACGGTGATCGTCTTCTTCAGCTCTGCTCAGATAATCATCTGTTCCTAGTCAGCACTAACTTTAGGCACAAAGAAAGACATTGTGTAACCTGGCGACCTCCATCACCAAATCAACGCTGAACTCAGATAGACCACATAGCCACAGGGTATCGTTGGCGAGGGTCAGTAGAAGACTAACGCTCCTTCTGGAACACGTGCGTAGACTCTGATCACGCTCTGGTTCGCGCACGTTTATGCTTACGACTAAATGGACATAAGAAATTGACGGCAGCGAAACAGTTACGTCCCCAACTAGATCGAGACACTGAGTCCTTATTTAACGAAGAAATAGCGAAACGAGTTTCTGAGGTCGACAGCAGGACTTCCCCGAAGGCAGCCTGGCACAAAACATAGTTAGCTGTACACACAGGTGTAAAAGCTGTTAATAATCTGAAACCTCAAGTTAATAAGAGCCAAAGGATTTCTATCACCTCATCCGAACTGATTGACGCAGGAAGACTGATTCCAGCGTGCTCCAATTATGATGAGGAGCGAAAGATACTTAAACGCAAACTATCAAAAAGTCTTCGCAACGACCATGAACAGTGGTGGGCAACAAAAGCGAAAGAGACGTAAAAGGCATTGGCGATTGGCAACACCAGACAACTATTCAGCCTTATCAGGGAAACAGGTGGCAAAAGGCACATGATAAGTGAAACAATCTCTGAGAAAAATGGCACCATAATTAGCTCCCAGGATAGACGACTGAAACGCTGGAAAGAACACTATGAGGAGCAGTTTAATTGGCCTACAGCCACACTTAACCTGCCGAACATCAAACACCTCCCTGAATGGGATATAGACACAGGTCCTCCTTTCTTAACTGAGGTTACTGAAGCTGTCACTAATCTGAAGCAAGGCAAAGCAACGGGACCTGATGGAATGACTCCAGAGGTATTTAAGTACGGTGGAGACAGTTTACTGTCTGCATTAACTGAGGTTCTAGGCAGTGTCTGGGAATCAGAGGAAGTCCAATCGCATTGGTGTAAGTCACTGATCATCCCGATATACAAGAAGGGAGACAAGTCTTCTTGTGATAATCACAGAGGGATTAGCTTGGCTAATATAGTATCTAAAGTCCTAGGCTCAATAATATTGCGTAGACTAAATGGTGCTCGGGAGGCGCAAACACGAGAAAACCAGGCGGGTTTTAGGCCATAAAGAGGGTGTATTGATCATATCTTCACCCTTCGACAGATTCTAGAACATAGGCATTCCTACCGGTGTCCAACAATCATTATATTTCTTGACCTAAAGGCGGAATTCGATACTGTCGACCGAGAGGTTCTCTGGCGATGCTTGGCTGTAAAGGGAATGGCGAGAGAAAATACATTGCACTGATTAAGGCACTCTACTCTGATGCTGGAGGATTGAACTACACCGACCCCTAGATTAGAAATAGGAAGTGAAGTGGTGGAGCACGTTGACCACTTCAGTTATTTGGGAAGTACCATCAGCCCCAACGGGTTGATCTCTGACGAAATCTCAGTACGAATACAGAGGGCTAGTTTCGCATATGCCAGTTTACGCCGTCTCTGGCCTATACATGATATCCGACTATCGACCAAAGGGCGTATGTACTACTCAATAGTCCGCTCCGTCCTCCTTTATGGCTGTGAGACCTGGCCATTGAGAGTGGAAGACATGGAAAGATTAGCTGTCTTCGATCATAGGTGTCTACGTTCTATCTCCCATGTGAACTGGTATAATAAGGTGAGCAATATTGAGGTTGGGCGTCGAGTGCTAGGTAAGGAGGGGAAATCAGTCGACGAGACTGTGAAATTACATCGACTGAGATGGTTAAAACATGTGTTACGTATGCCAAGTCATCGCCTTCCTCGACCGATGGGCAATGTTAGCTGATATAGGGCCAGGCTGGAAAAGAGCTAGCGGCGGTCAAATGAAATCTACAACAGTTAGTCTAAGCCACGTAGGAAGGTGTAGACTTCCTGGTTGGGGTCCCCGCGGCGGTTAAAACCAATGGTTGGAAACAAGCGGTGACATGACTCAAAATCGTTCTCAATGGTGCAGATGCATCCACTCCTTGTGACTTATGATTTCCAATTAAACTGTTTTGTTCTTCGTTATTACTATACCTTTGTCTCACACCTCTGTCTACTGTCTCTAATATGCATTTCTCCTACTTTCTTCTCTTGCTTTGTGTGCTACATGGAGTGTGGCGACTTGAACTGCCGCACATATGTGCAAAGTTCTATGTCGAAAACAGATAGACGGCGTCTGCATTTAATAGGTCCATGTATTCCATATTAGGCAAGTTCATTTTGATATAAAATACAATGAATGATGCATTAATATTGACCAAAAAACATTTCGAGTACAGTATTTACTCGAAATCATATATATATATATATATATGCATGATTCCCTTGGGTTTTGAGTGGAGCATGGAGACTGAGCAGCACATCTCCATTTCACTGTGTTCTTTCCAGCCTCTTTTATTAGCTGGCTGGCTCCACAATTGCCCATAAGCTTTCATTTCCTCTTCAAATGACCACATCCATATCACGTTCCAACGCTCACGTCGTCAGTGAGCGAGGCTGATTAACGAACTTCTCAGTGTATATGTGCAATCTATTTCTTTCAAACATATTTGTTGGACAATAGGTTATTGGTTAGTTTGTTCCCAGAGTTCCTGGATGATTATGACTGTTTGTCATAGATGACACTTGCCTCAAACATTCCAGGTGAATAACTGCTGCTTTTAAGTGTTTCCGTCGTGAGGATTTCGCCACTAACCGACATCAGTCAAAGAGGTAGTGAAAACCAGGAAACATTGGATACCTGTTTTGCTCTAGTCTGAGACTCTTGAGAAGTGCACACCAAAGCCCGTAGATTGGATTACAATGACTTACGGATTCTAACTTGTATATAAAATTGGTAATTTTCAAATTAATTCGCCATTTTCGATTTACACAGTTCTAAGAGGTGAAATTTCACCACAGTTTCATATGGGAACCGAAATTATTCAGATTACAACGTGTATTCTACTTGGTACCAAATATGGTAATCAATACAGTAAGTATAAACTCAAAATTCGTGTGGTTTCAAGTGATTTGGCTCTCGAGGCTGAGTCAAACACGGTAAACTGATGATGCCCTTGACCCCAAACGAGCAAAACGACCGTCTAACGTCTTGATCACTTCAATCGGCCTGGCAACAAGCATATGGGTGGTATTTAGCTACTCATGTCACTTAATCAGTACTATGTAGATTATAACTTCAATTAATCCGCGACATAACACCAATGGAAATAGACATCAACTGTGAGCATCCATCTTCACATCCGACTAGGTGAACAACACTGGTCACGATTTCACACTATATCAGGTGAAATTTTTGTATTTATATGTTTGAACCGATCGCTCGCCAAATGTGTAGCAGAAAATGTAGAAAGACCGGACATACACTGGGGAGATCGTTGGGTGACACTGCGCGCTAGACCATAGCTCGAGTGGAACCTGAATGGGAAACGACAAATGGGTGGGTCATCCGAGGGTGACGTCGATGAAATTCTGTGGGGAGGAGATGAGAGACTATGGATGATCGTCGGCCCAGCTAAAGAAGAAAATAGAACATAAAACGAAGTGGGGAGGTGCTGTTGAAACCCTACATCCCACTCAGAACCCGAGGGAACAATTATATATATATATATATATATCCTCCTTTCAATTGCAGTTGTATTTCTGATTTACGTTAATAATGATATTAGTGATAATAACAATAATAATATCGTGTCAGTTTACAGGAGTTTGACTGGTTACAGGTTTGATTACGAGTTACAGAACCACTGGAAAAAAGTAGCGAGTACTGGAGAGCTGTTTGGGACTCTTCAGCAGTACGAACCCATCAACAGGGTTCGAACCCGGGACCCTCTGATTACAAGGCGAGCTCTTAGACAACTCAGCCACTGGGACCCGACCCAATGGCCAGCTCACGAATCCCAACTTCTGCCAATTCGTGATATATATATATATATATATATATATATATATAAGGCGCAATCGCCACCCAACATCATAGGCAAATAACTGTTCCCTTACCTGACTTCGTGGATCCCGCTGGTTATTGATAATTTTGCAAGAATTAACATTTAGTAGTGTGTTTAATTGAAAAGGAAACGATGAATCCACCGTACCCTACGTTATTTCTCCTGTTCGGGTGCATGAATGGAACTAAATCCCATATCGATGAGGAGCAGTTTAATTGGCCCACAGCCACACTTAACCTGCCGAACATCCAACACCTCCCTGAATGGGATATAGACACAGGTCCTCCTTCCTTAACTGAGGTTACTAAAGCTGTCACTAATCTGATGGATTGACTCCAGAGGTATTTAAGTACGGTGGAGACAGTTTACTGTCTGCATTAACTGAGGTTCTAGGCAGTGTCTGGGAATCAGAGGAAGTCCCATCGGGTTTGATCACCCCGATATACAAGAAGGGAGACAAGTCTTCTTGTGATAATCACAGAGGGATTAGCTTGACTAATATAGTATCTAAAGTCCTAGGCTCAATAATATTGCGTAGACTGAATGGTGCTCGGGAGGCGCAAACACGAGAAAACCAGGCAGGTTTTAGGCCATAAAGAGGGTGTATTGATCATATCTTCACCCTTCGATAGATTCTAGAACATAGGCATTCCTACCGGTGTCCAACAATCATTATATTTCTTGACCTAAAGGCGGAATTCGATACTGTCGACCGAGAGGTTCTCTGGCGATGCTTGGCTGTAAAGGGAATGGCGAGAGAAAATACATTGCACTGATTAAGGCACTCTACTCGTACTCATGCAGCCAGGTGAGGGCTTACGGCGAGTTGTCATCTGAAGTGGTGACGACTAGTGGCGTCTGTCAAGGATGCCCATTATCCCCATTCCTATTCAACTTCATCGTAGACGTACTAATGGACTTAACCCTAACACACTTCAGAGACTCAGGGATTGACTTGCTACCAGGGAAGAGTCTCGTTGACTTAGAATATGCAGACGATATAGTCCTTCTAGGTGAGGACTCTGACAAAATGCAGAGTCTTCTGAACATCTTGAGCTGCAATCTTCGAATGTTTGGCATGCGATTCGCTCCTGTAAAATGTAAGATGATGTTGCAGGATTGGATTACACTGACTCCTGTTCGGGTGCATGAATGGAACTAAATCCCATATCGATGAGAATTTTACTTTGCCATCTACATCTACATCTGTTCACTTCACTAATGTTTGCTTTCAATGTTTTTGATATAACTCCAAAGTTATCGAAAATATTTCTACTATAATAACGGAATCAACCGGGAACTTGGATACAAACTTACATCTTTCACACTCGAAAATTTATCATATTTAAATTGGTGATTCATATTCAACTTTCTAGAATAGGCTAATGAAGCTGAAGCAAGACGTGGATCAGAATAGGTTGAACATCCAGTTTCTGAGCTACATAGTAAAAAAAATTTGAAGGAATAAAGCACTAAATTCTCTTTTAAAAATTTATGACCAATTTTTAAATCAAAAAGCAAATTATACCTACAGAACAGGTTAATTTGCAAGACAACATAATGATTGAGAAATTATCACCTTATACTTAAAGTTATTTAACATAACATGGGCGCTTCCATGATTGGCGGAACAACGCTAGACAAGATATTTACCCAATGACTGACTGACTCAATGGTTTCAAGAAAGAAATTTGCACAATTGTACACCATTGCAAGTTGCCACTCCCCCTCCTTCCATGTAGCAAACAAACCAAGAGAAGAAAGGAAAGTGAGATTCATCAGAGAGAGAACGATCATAAACACAAGTGTGAGTAGTGGAAAAAGAATAGTAATATGGAAGAAGGAGAAGAAAAAGAAAAAGAATGGAATTCTATTGAACATGACAAACGTCAAAGAGTGAATCAATACATCTGCACCATAATTGACAACGATGATTTTCAGTCAGTCATATCTCCTCCGATTGTCTCCAGACTCCGTCGGTTATTACCATCTCGAGGATCCCAATCAGTCAGTCACAAAGTCTACACTTCCCTACGCTGCTGGCTAGCTGACTGATTGGCTGGCTGGCTGACTGGCTGGCTGGCTGACTGGCTGGCTGGCTGCCTGGCTTAAACTAACTGTTGTCACGGATTTCATTGACTGATGAAGCCGTCTTTTCGTTTGACCACCACATGCTAGCTAACTCATTTCCAACCTGATCCATCCTGTGTCAGCCAAGCTAGCATTGCCCGTCAGTCGAGGAAGGTGATGGATGGCTGAACAGACAGACAGGTAGGCAGGTAGGCAGGCAGGCATGCATGCACGAGTAACACATGTCCTTACCATCTCACTCAACCGATGCAACTGCTTCACAACCTCGTCAATAGATTTATTTTACCTCCTCCTGCTCCTCATCCTTATCCTCCTTATCGAGTACTCGACCGATGCCTCACCAACTCAATATTACTCACCCTACTACAAATACCACCTAAACTAGCACGGGATGTAAACAGAAGGCAAACGACACAATAATGATGAAAGACAGCTAGTTGGCCGGCGTTTTCATGTGTTTCACTTCCAATGGTTATGTGTCGCTATGTGTCACAGACATAAAGGAGGACAGAGCGAAATGCTGAGCAGTGCACCACACGCCCTTTGGTCGACAACCAGCCAACCGGATATCACGTCTACTAAACTGAAGGTGGAGTAGGTTGGTTGGCAAATGCCAAACGAACCTTCTGTATCTGTGCAGCGACTCCGTTAGTGATCAACCCACTGGGACTGGCTGATGCAACTTCTCACATAAGGGAAGTGGTCAACACACTCAGCCACCAATTCACTGCCTCCGTATGTTTAAGCTACGAGTGAACTGATGCAGTTCAGTTCTGTAGTATCGTCTTACGTTTGACAGGAACGATCTCGTTACAGAGTACCATCGATCGTTTGATGTCAATCAACTCCAGCTGTTCATGCATAAGAACGGCGTCATCGAAGAAAAGGATACTTTTATTACTAACCTTTAGTTATACGATGGAACTATAAACATGTTTTACAAACTTACTTTAGATAAAGTGTCTTTCCAGATTCATCAAAACACGATGACCAGCTTTTAGGTAGTGTAGATGGTAATTGTTTAACATGACCAGAAATTGGGTGCGGCTTTTGTGTAAATCCTGTTAACCGGCTTGATTAAATAAATAAAATGAAAATTCCTCTTGATCAGCATAAAGTACAACAACAAAACAGCTAAGTAAAAACAGCTACTTTTGTTTCTTTGTGAAAATCTTTCAGCGGCAATACTTGAGAAATACGCTATACATGAAAAACTTATGACCAACACTCACGTGTATGGAGTTATTCAGCTACCACAATTAGTAATAACATTACCCTTCTGCAAGAAAAACAGCAGGATGAAGACACGTTTCAGTCTATTACAAATATCGCCTCATCATATATTCATAAACCCGTTGTCATCAATTACAATTTTTTATTCCTTAACGTTCCGAGTGGAGCATAAGGTCACAAGCTAGAGCTTGGAATTCTCAGTGGCAGTGGGTTTTTTTTAATTTTACGGGGAATGCTAGTCTCGCGTACAACCTTCTCTCTTTACCGCCTTTTTGCCGACCTAGCGAGGTTTAGGAACGCGTCGGCCGAGGATCAGACCTCGGAGCACGTGGGAAGTGGTTGGAGAGCGTTCTACCAGTGCACTACTAACGCACAACTTCCGAGCATGGAAGTATATATGTATATATATTCTCTCGGTACTTCATATACGATGTAAGTAATGCAATATACATTACACATCCCTTTGAAGACAGAATTTAATAGGAACAGTTGATTGGATTAGAATATACGCTTCTGAATAGAATAATTTGTTTATGCCACTTGGCCTAAACAATTCAAATTAGGTTGTTCTACTTTCTTGAAATGAATCTTGTTATGTTCATGCTTTCAACAAGAGAATCCATAACTAAACATTGACGTGGCTGAATAAAATAGGAATACTGCTGATCACTAATTTTGGTAGAACGATCTTTCACCAGCTATTGTGTACTACTGTAGGTATTTTTGCCCTTTTGAAAACAAGAATGTGTTACTGTGATCAATTCCATAAGATAATTTTGAAAAGCATTATAAGAACATTTGGAGAGGGGAGGGAAAGATTCCATCCACTCATCATCATCATCATCATCACTGCAGCATCTATGGCCATCTAGTGCTGACTTAATACAAAGAGAATACAGAGTTGTTCGTCTACAGTCCTGTGAAGATATTGCAATCATGAAGGGTCTCAGTTTAGTGCTCAACTTATCAATCAATATAATGTACTATGAAATAAATTTATTAACCTATGTTTGACGAGAAATAATTGTCTGTACTTCGTTTACGAAATTTAATTTTAAACTTATTCATTGAAAGGTATGTTCTTAGACTTTGAGGAAGATTCATTATTTCATAAAATCTCTACTCACATTTACAGAAACCAAACTTTCCTGAAACATTTATTCTGGTCATTTTACAACGAAAAGTAAAACTCTGTTCAGCCTGTACTTTTACTAGATATTTATTTATTTTTTTGTTTTTTTATTTTGATTATAGCTTGAAACCACACGGTACTTTTTAGTACAAGTATGGAATTTTCAGCATGTGATATCGGTAGCCCAAATTTCGCAGGCCAACCATTGATATCAGGTGTGCGTCGGCAGGGAATCGGCGAGCATCTTAACCACTGTGCCACCGACGCACCTTATATGATGCTAGACTATACGAAAACGCCTAAATATTTTAGATAATAATTAATGTTGAAACCAAAGTTCGTTCAGTGAACAAAATCCTTTAGCATCGTTTCTTCTTTCTGCTTCGATTATGTAGCAAAAGCTTCAATGTGTTACACCAGGGAACGGCCCATAGGTTGCAGTACAGACCAGTGACATACTACTCTGGTTTCATTAGATAACAGTTGATTTTGACTTACATAGTGTGCCAGTGATTTAGAAAATATCTACTTACAAAGACTTTATGGAAGTTTCCTACAGTCTATCACACAGAATGAGCTCAGGTATACCCTCTCGAAAATACTTCCAAGACAACTTAGATCTTAATGGTTTAAAGTACACAATTCTATAATCAGAAGTATGATAAGTTACTTTAAGGCTTAACAATGTTCATTTTATATTCGCAGGATACTAATAAATAATACAACTAGTTTTTTACAATGTTAATTGGTTACACGTAATACTTCTAATATGAGCATCAAAGACTACTACTACAATCTATACACCTCTGTTAAAGAAAGCTAGTTGTATAGAAGTATGAACGAAATCTAACCTCTGCTTATATTTGCACCATTTGAGAGAGAAATGAGAATCATATACTGATTCAATTCCCGTATGTCAATTATCAGTAGTAAGCTGATCCTTTAATTTCCACAACTTATTATACCTTTCAAAGATAGTTTCAGAATAAGCGGTCATACTGAAACCAGTTCCAATCATCAAACTAATGTCAATAGAATGAATAATCCCCTAGGAGTGGATGAAGACAACAGCTTCACCTTGAAATGTAAAGAACTCCAAAAATTAACTTACATTTTATAAAAAAGTTGGCTGCATAAATCGAACAGGTAGAAAGAAAAAGAATAAATAGAATACTACACTACTCATCGATTGCGTTTTGAGCCATTCAAGAATTCATCGGACACGTTTTCTACTTGCTTTATTCAGAATCTTTAAGAGAAATAACATACGCAAATATCTAAGACAACTATAAATCTGTTGTGCACCAACAAGTGAATAATTGCGGAGCTAAACAACTGCAAATCTTTCCCATTTTATGCGCACTAACCCATCTCGAAAGATTACTGGTTATATGTGATGAATTAAACGAAGTACCTCTTACTAATTAGTTTCGTTGTTGTTACATAAATAGTCTAGGAAATCAATTGCTACAAAACCGTAATATTGCTTATTCATGTATTTTACAAAACCAATATGCCTACTTGTAATACGCGATGAAATCACCCTGAACAGTCTGTTCCCACTCAGCCGGTAAGTCATCATCCGAGTCGGAGTCATCCCATAGGTTTGCGTGCATATTTTAGCTTTTGTAACTGATGTAGGAGGAAATGAATCACCCAGACACTAGAAAATCAAAATGAAGATACACGGGCTTTAAAAGCAACATAAAGCAAAGGCCTTTTTAACTTACAATGTAGAAACAAGTATTCAAAAAAAAGTTAAATAGTTATGAATGTTAAAGCGCCATCACCGCCGTGATGTAATAACCGCTCCTGACAATATGCATTTCTCAGTTAACACATTACTTATACTACGTAAAAGATTTATGGGTCTGGTATATGCAATGATAAGTACGAACACGTGTAGTTTCGCTGAGTATGGAGAAGGAGAGGGAACTCACGTAACTATGGAAATAGGGACTGTAGATTATACATATTTTTATACATCATGTAACCACTTGTTAGGGACTATGTATGAAAGGATGAATTTGGTGAGACTGAAGGATGAAAAACAGTAATGTCCTGTGCTTATAATGCTTACAATCATCTGATTCACTGACGTATATACACACACCAGCAGATGAAAGCTTACTAAAAGTGAATTAAACGACGTCACGTTATCTAAAGAAATTGTAAGACGAGCAATACCGTGTCCCATGCAACACGTCATTTACAAGTGCTAGTCAGAATGTTAAGAATTTAGGGAAATCCGCCAAAACAGGTATTCTTTGACAAAGACTTCAAGGTTGTCTTGATAGAATGAAAACTTGGGGATAGGTAGCTGCTGAATTCAGTGACGTTACTGTGAGGGATTAATGTTCACCAGAACTGTATTGACAAAAAAAATTGAACCGCATGACAACTTTCCAGAAATCGAAGGTATTGTGATAATACCGCAGTTTTTCAATAGGTGCCATGATAACGAAAGGCAAGTGACGCTAATGTCTGCTAAACAAAAACATACCAAAGATGTGTCGTGTGTATTGTAACTATTTCATGCATTCATGGGTGACACTAATGGTAAGTAAAGATTCATAATGGACAGCTTCTCACTCTGATTTAGATTCAGATTCAATGTTGCCTTGAAGGTATACATTTGTCGTCTTTTAATGCTCTAGTTCTATAGAACGTAGGTTGGAATGAAATAAATGGTAATTATTTCAGAATTTTTCAAACGGTTATGGACTTGCAGCAGATGAAATCACGCTAACTTAAGATCCATAGTATATGCATGCATCTCGAAGTAAATTGCAACCACTTCAACACACTTTCGGATTATTTTGTGCAGTTTTAGTATGCGAATTATTAATATCTTTGAAAATATCAGACAATTGCACTCACCAGAGCTATTCACAATCTCATCTTCCCTATAACAGCTGTGATTTACGATGAAAGCACATGACCTTGACAAGTCGAAATTACCTCGTGGAACAAAAGGCATTAATTAGTTGGAGAATTATTGTAGTCAAAGAATGGTGTCAGCGCTTGTATTTCGAAAGCTTTTCGGGATGGAGGGGGTCGTAGGCATTTTCGCATGACTTTAAAGGGTCTTAGCTATGAAGATTGGATTTTTGAGCCCGTTTCACGAGGGCGATGGAGCAAAACTTAACCACCTGTAGAGTGGACTTGGCCGTGAACAAGACGGCTACACATATCTTTTTGATGACTGTCGTCGAGTGCGCACCAGCTAATAAGCATGTGAACTATAGTCAGCATTTAAGATTAAATGACCACTTCCATTAGATCTACCTAGGAGTACTAACCCCAAAGGGGGTTGTTAAACACTTTTTAAACTTAATGAAAGAATCCTGGTACTGACTACTCCAAACAAATTTCCATGTTATCCGTAAAGAGATGAAGAGGATCAGCTATATCGGTGAAATTGTTGACAAAGTGACGGTGATAGGAAGTGAATCCCATAAAACTACCAACACTTCCTGTCGATTTTGGAGAAGCCAGTTCAGAATTGCGTAGGCTTAGCTTATGTCAGTATTAATCCCCTACAGGGTGGTCTCACGATGAACTTCAGTAGGAAATGACATCTGGACGCTATGAGCTTAAGGTCACTATCACTTAGACGTCGAAAATGCTCTTAAATTTGCATGATGTCACTTTTTGAGAACGAAACCTGTAGGTACTTTCCACATTCATCCTTGGAACGTGGCGGCGGCATTTGTAAGGCTGAACGGCATGTTTTCAAATTCACTTAATCCAGTGGGCACAACGAAGTCAGTCTTAAATCTCTCTTCAAGGCGTATCTCTAAATTCCAATAACTAGAGGCTAAGTCTAAGGTGGAGTGCTGGTGGGATGCGCCCACAAACTCTGACTTGGTATCTGTACGAAGCGGAGAGAAGAAATCTCGCTGTGTTATGGAATTTAAGTGGTGACAATCTATGCACGGACGAAGTTTGTCGTCTTTGTTTCTTAGCCAGGAAGATGGGAGATCACTTAGGCGTAGGGGACAGTTTTACCACTTTTTATGGCTTTTCCTTGGTCACAGAATCCAACTGATGTTGGTAGTGAATAGGAACCCATCAAGGAGATATCTCGAACAGCAGGCTGTCCCTAGTCTTGATCTCTATTGCATAGTGCTAGATCGGCTCACAGCTTGATCGTCAACAAACACCTCTGAACTTTTGAAGCAGAGCCAGGGTGCCGGTTCGATCCTTCGGCTACAGATGTGGATTTGTGTCCATGTTTACAATTGCTTCCTGAGGTGATTTAGAGGTAGTAGCATACTGACCGCCACTATTAGATCGTTTGAGCAAAAGATCGTGCATTCCTCAGCTTAACCCAAAAGCACTCTCGGTCGGTTATGGTTCATTGCCTGGTCAGAAGTCAACGCATAATAATATGCCCCACATTATAACATCATAAACAACAAAAGAATGAATGCTGTTGAATTCTTTTATGGCAACCGGTAGATTAACAGTGTCAATTATTTTGATAAGGACCCCATTAACTTCTATTTGTTCCAACTTTATTGGAAGGGGCTTCGGGCTTGTGTCCAGTTGTTGAAATGACCACGTGCGGATGACAGAGGACGATGCCCCTGTGTCAACCGGAAACGACAAATTTATACCGTTTATTGGCGCTTCCAGAAAAGGCGAGGATTTCAGATACTGAATGAAAGATGACACATTAATAGTTCGCTCACTTGGTGGTCTCCTTTTGTTGTGGCCAGTAAGATCTTTCGAGGTGGAGAGTAATGTTTGATCTGTAGTGCTTTGTGGGTGGTGCTGCAAATTTTTTCCATTGCTGGTGTATTTGCTTGGATTTATCTTGGCGCACTTATATGTGATCTTTTATATGTGGGCCCCTACAACACAGCATTATGTGGCTACATATATTTTGTGAGTTGGGAACTCAAAAAAGGGGAACAAGCAACCAAGTAAGAATTACATTCTCTTTATGATTTGTAAGGCTTTCTTTATCTACTGAATGATATAATGGCTTTCCCCTCGTTTGAAAAGAAGTTCCTGTCTTCACTTGCCCTCTGCAGTGCCTTCGGAAATAAATTTTAATAAACACTATCGGTCTTCCACACTATTACAGGTAGTTGATCAGTAATTCGAGTGATCGTTTTGACAGGGAAGTAAGTTTCTAAAATAGCACCACGAGCTGGAAGTTGGAGATAGGATGTGGTTAACACTTGCGAATTTTTTATCTACCTCCAGGGTCTCCGACAGAGATCTCAATGGGATGCGCAACAAGTGGCATTCCAAGTCATATGCTAAAAGCCCCTGTGTGAGGCTTGTACAGATTAACTCAATACAAACAGTGTTGGATATTGCTGGACACCGACCTTGTCTCAGTCGGTGTCGGAGGAGTTCCAACTCCAGTTTCGACACCATTCCGGATCCACAGAGGACTGAATAATATTGTTGTATGGCCTTGCAGAAAATATTGTAAATATAGTAATAATACTGCTTGTAATGTGTGTACATAATATAATAACATGTTGAATACCAAAATTTATAATGATATATGCCATTATATGGTGTTGTATACTTATATTTGTATAATATTATAATGGATACCCACCCTAACAAGAATATCAACCGCAAAGTCCAGAGGAAAGCATAATCACTTCTTCCAAACGAAAGTATACCTCGATTTCAAGAGAAAAAGCCCGTGATGTCTTTCAGAGCAGGATTTCAGTATCTTTGAGAGGAACACTGACCGCATCAACACTAAGACCAGCGTTGTACAGTCGCCGTATAGTCTACAGAGTCCTTAAGGACAAAACCCCGCATCTGACCGCGTCTGTGTGCATACATCAGTTCACCTGTTGCTGCGGATGACAGTATATTGTTCTCTCAATGCGTATTCTGTCCTAAAGCCCTCAAGAACACTCTTCCACATCACCACAGGAAGGTGGTTGTGGTTCTATAAGGAGAACGATAATCGAATAACTTTTCAGCACTGGCCATACCATTTCAACAAACGCCTCCTCTTTCGAAGTAGTCTACAAAGTGAAGATTTACCTGCCAAAGCAATAAACTTTCGCCTCCTCTGTATTTCTGAAGCCTTAGCCACTTAGTTGGAGAAATCGGAGTAATGCATACGAACGAAGATTATCTAACTAATCCTACTACCATCCTGACAACCGTGTCGATTTCTGCTGACTTGACTTTGGTATGCTTCTTTTTCAAACTCCTTGAATTTCTTTAGGACTCTTACGCAGTTCCACGCTTCCCTTGTTTCTACCCAATCTTTATCAAAACTCACTAAATTATCCGTCTTAACGCACAATTCCAATACTTATTCAACTTCTCTTATGCATCGACTAACATTCACAACTGTGTTTGTGGTAACTCGTTACTTTTATTACCACCCTATTTCATGGAAAAATTGTGTGCATATGCCAAGTGAATGCTATCGCTAAAAAAAGACTCTTCGCTGAACTACGTGTTTTGTTTTCATTAGTGTCCAAATGGGCATGATTCATGAATATAAAATTTGTATGGCATCCTACTAATGCGTACTTCATTCCTTCCGCTGAGTCAATTACAAGGGCTGATATGGGTTTGGTATGCTTTCAAAGTATAAATAATAATGTGGTGGTGTTTCGCC